TTTTTTTTTTGGGGGGGGGGGGGGGGGCAGGTGTAAGCTTGATTTATGACACCCAACAACCTACTCGCTCATAGGACGAGAACGAGTGTATGTGACAGGAATGTAACCGAGCCAGGAACAGGACTCTTTTGCACACACCGCAAAGGGGTCATAATGCAGTGCCTGTGCCTGCTCCAAGGGCGACCAGCGCTGTGCCAGCAGGTGGCGCAGCGAGGCTGCAAACGAAAAGTCGAGGTGCAGCGCCTCGTGGATAGCCCTAGGCATATCCCCACAAACCACGATGATGTCCCCGTCGAACAAGCCAACACCACTGCCGGACATCCAGACAAGTCTTGACAAAGTTTGGCCCCTGCAAACATACCTCAGGTAGGCCATGGCTCCCTGCCGCAGTTTGGTTCCATCCCAGCTGCCTTCCAAAGGAATCTACTCGGTCGTGCCAGGACGGTGCCAAGAAGGGGGCCGAGAGTGACGGCGCAAGGTGAGACGTGTTGGGTTCTGGGCGTAACTTATACCATGCAGCGCGCTGTGGCGCTCGAGGCACGCACCGGCAAGGCGTAAATGTCGTGAATCATCACGTATTCAGGCGCATCGGTCCAAACATTGAAAGAGACGGAGTCTTTCAGCGTCGCCACCTCGTGCCACCAGTGTGGAGGCACATACAGCAAGTCTGAGGGCCCGAGGGTGACTTGCCACACTGCCGCCACATCGGCCAGCCGTTGCGGGGTAGTTGACACAGGCGATCCACGGCCCTGGTTTTCGCTGGCCAGTACGTCTGGATCAGCCATACACACTGCGCTGCCACTGGCTGCTGCAGCACCCAAAGGATCCCATTGCGCGTGCGCAATCGACGGATGCAAACAGGGGTAGGGGCACACGGGCGCGCCCGGCCGCAGGAGTGTAAACTGCTTACGGCCGTGCAGCTGTAGAAAAAAGTTCCACGAAGCATCGTAGTGCATGGCTGTTACCAAGCCGCCATGACCAAGCCAGAGGTTGCTTTGCAGGCCCGTGGCACTCTGTGCCATGGCGTCACGATCCGGTAACAAGTCCTCGAGAGCAGGCCAATGGGGCCCCAGCTTGTTCACATCCGCACTAAAGTACAGGAAACGCCCCGCATCGCGCGCTACTGTGTCGAAAAGCTGGCCCGTGGAAACGTTGACCTTGACATTAAAGTCCGTCCAGTGGTCATGCCGCAGGAAAGGCTCCAGTTCTTTATCGTCATGAAAGGTGCGGAAGCGGCCCGACCCGCGCTGTGCATATGCGGGTACTGTGGACAGAGCTGAAGCAATGTCCGCTGGAGTCCACTTGCTCAGAGATGCTTGCGTCGCCTATGGTGTTGATTCAGGCACGACATTCGAGAGTAGAGCTCAGCATGTGCATGTCCTCACCCAACCTCTTTCTTTTGCAGCGAGCACGCACCAGTGAGCTATGCCGTATCACAAAGGGCTCGCGCTGGCGCGCCAACTGCTCAAGCTGCTCTCGAGTGTGCCCTTCGGCATCAGGCACCTCGCGGACAAGATTGCGAGTCACAACCGTTCGCACGCTAACAAGCGTGGGCGCTTGCTTGGACGACACGCCGGCCCCACACTCGACGAGCAGTAGCCCAAGCACCACGAGCACCATCAGCACCCGGGCTGTACCCGAGCACCCCTCGAATGGCATAGTCCGTGACAGAAGTCAGCTCCGCAACTGGCACATCAGCGCACCAGCAACTCGAATTGTCAGATGATTGTGCTGACAATAGGTGGCGGGTCACAAATTTCGAAATAATGAGTCACATGTTTTTCCCGACCAAACAATTCAGTTTATTTGTTTCTTTAGCAACGTCCGCGATGATGAAGGCTCAGGATAGCGAACAAGCGTTCCCCGGTGCGTCTGCCCGACATCCAAGAGCCAGCGCTGCGCTCGGCCGCCGCGCGTGGCATCGTGTGCTTCCATTGTCTGTTCTTGCGACCAGCTGTTCCATCCAGAGTTGAATGGCTCGTGGAACAGAAGGGAGTGTATTTGTTCTTTTCTGTCTGCCATCGCCTGCGCCATGCACGGGACAGCAAATGCCTTGCCAACCACACGCAGACAAACATAACATCGGGAGAGCACGTCTGGCAATTGTGGCGGCGGCTGCGCGCCATCAGCCTAATAACGTGCTTGCTTTTCTTGTTTTGTCTGGGGCTGTACTGTGTATCGCAGACTCGGAGGTGGAGCGGCTTCGCCGGCAGTTCCGAATTACAGAGGGCGATCGCAAGACTTACAACGACGGCACCCAGCTTGAGCTGAAGAAGCAGGTTCGCTCGTGATCTGGCCGCGACTTGTGCAGACCCGTCGTCTGTTGAAGCTCGACGATGCGTAAACGGGCTTTCTTGCTGTGGTTGTGGGTGTATTCTATTTTATTTTTTCCCCACGATTGAATTCCCGTTCTTCCCACCCGCTCACCGTGCCTTTCTGCTGCCCCTTGCCCCTGTCCTTTCGTGGTTCATTTTGTTTCATATTGGTGTTCCTCGTTTTTGCCGTTGCTGCTTCGCATCTGCTCAGGCGGATCAATTGGAGAAGCTGCGCAAGGACAATGCCTTGCTCACACACGAGCTTGACATGGCTATGGCGGCTGATCGGGATGCTGACGATGAGAAGAAGGCGGCCGATGACTTGACAAACGAGCTCGCCACCCGGAAAGTACGCCCAACTCGCCTTCTAACCACCAAACCGGTGCTTTCCTCTTCTTTGTAGCCTACTCACGCTCCATCTTCACGTCCCATCGTTGCCTTGGTCCTGTCTTTAGAGCGAGATGGACGCGGCTCAGGAAGAGCTTAATGAATTGCAACGTACGCTCAAGGAAACAGACCAGGACATCCATGATCGTCGTCGCCAGATTGGTGGTGCGGCAGGTGTTGAGGCTCAAAAGCGACGCCTGGCCAGCCGTATCAAAACTCTGGAAAACCGCGTTGAGCAAGGCACTCGCAAATACAATGAAATTCTGACCAGCAATGCCAAGCTCCGTGAGCAGATTGACCACCTGAAGCAGGAGCGTCGCGTGTTCGACGGCTTGCACCGTAAGCTCGAGAAGGAGCTCACTCAGCACCGGCGCGACATTGCGGAGCTTGTGGCGCAATCACAGCAGGCCTACGACGCCCGCGACGAGGCGCACCACCGCATGAGCATGCTGGAGGAGAAGAGTGCCAAGGAACTCAATCAACATGATGCTGATATCAAAGCCCTCAAGCGCACTTTGGAGCATGACCGCAAGCTCAAGAGCTTCATGGGTGTCAAGGCTCAACCGCGAGGTCAGGATGAGCTCGCAGCCTCACACAAGCGCAACGCCAACCAATCAGATCAGCCCGAGGCAATGGTGCAGACCTATGAGGCTGCCTTTAAGCAACTGAAGGAGGCCACGGGCATTGAGGAGACGAACAAGCTCGTGGAGCGTTTCATTCAAATGGAGGACCAAAACTTCTCCCTCTTTAACTATGTCAACGAGCTCAACAATGAGTTGGAGAGCCTCACCGAGCAGGTTCATGAGCTGCAATCCAGCATTGACAAGTTTCAACGAGAGAACCGAACATCGGATAGCGAGCGCAAAGCAACGCTTCAGGAGCTGGAACAGAAGCTTGAGGCTGTCAATCAGCAAGCCAAGCACTTTGAGAGCCAACAATCGGCTTTCACGGACCAATTTGCGGCGCTCAAGGCCGGCATCTCAACGATTTTTGACGGGCCAGTATGCGAGGGAACCGTGCTTACCGACATGCTTGGCAATACCGAGATCACTGAATCAAACATCATGTCCTTCTTGGGCGCTATCGAACAGGTGCGCGCGGCGTTAGCGTCAATCGTGACCTGGGCCATATTTTGGTTTTTTTTTTTTTTTTCTTTCTTGCTTTTCTGTTTCTTTCTTTTCGCTTTCTTCTCCTCGTCCTTCTTTCTTTGCTATGTCGTTGCCCTCTTCTTCAAAGGACAAAGCTCACTAACACCTTACATGTGCGTGCGCCTCCGTGTTGTAGCGCGCCAACGAGCTCCTTCAGCTACGAGCCCTGCTTGACCAGAAGGAGCGAGACAAGTGGGAGGAGCAAGAAGCTGTGCTGCGCGAGGAGCTGGACAACGAAGACGCCTTTGACCCTACTGCGACCCTGGTACGACCATGCCCCGTGGCTTTTGGGCGGTTCTGTCTCGAGGCACACCCACCTTTTTTTTTTTTTGGTACATGCCTCATGTTCTGCGTCTTTCATCCGCCCTTTTTGCTCAGGGTCCCAAGCCACAGCCTGGTGGCCTCTTGGGTGCAGGCCCGCTGCCACAAGTCTCACCACTCAACATCGTCCCTCCTACTTCCCTGGGTGACGGCGATGCGGAGCTGACCGATGAGGAGGAGCTCACGCGACCCATGTCTCATCACGAACTCAAACGCAAGATTGCACGAGGTCTGCAAGGGAGCGCATGAGAGCGCGCGCAGCATCTACATATTTTGATCAACCTCTGCTGCTGCGAACACCTGTGCCTGTCCCCACAAACGTTTTCGCGACCGCCGACTGTCTGCGATCCACGCTTCCCTTGTATATTTTGCGACATGTGCAAGACTAAGTTGAACAAATACAGTTGTCAATTGCATTTCGTGAACGCGCTTCACGAGGCGCATCTTCCGCGCAGCGGAAGGCTGCGGTGACTCATATCGTGCACGCACTGGTTTCAAGTGCCGTTAACCGTGTGCTGCCAAAGTACTCGCGTACCATGGCGGCCTCTTTTTGTGTGATGTTAAGTGTGCGTTGCCGCTCAGCGGCAAGGTTGTGATAATTGACTCAGCGAGCCCGCCCTCCTGCCTTCTTAGCGCCCTTCTTTGCTGGTCGACGAGTCAGAAAATCAGAAATCGAAACACCGTTGCTGGCAGATTTGCGCTTGGCCGTACCGGCTCGGTCCGCCAGCTTCAGCGGCTGCGAAGAGGTCGTTGCTTCTTGCTTGACCCCACGGCTGGCGCTGATTGGCGCTGCGTGGGGCTTGTGGGATGATGCAATTGAAGCCACTTTAGGCTTACGCACCTCGGGCTTGATAGGCACACCGGTACTCGACTGCCGCGCAGCCAGCGTCGTTGAATGCCGCCAAACCAGCTCACCGGCGCGTGCGGGTCGCAGCAAAGATAGAAAAGGGTGTTGGAGTGCTTCGCTCGGGCGCAAACGCAACTCTATCACAAACAAGTAGTAATGCATTAGTTGTGCGTTGCACCCAAGCAACAGCCGGGTCAAGCGGTAAAGATCATAGTTAGCATAGTAGGCTGCCGCTATTGACCAAACAAACGCGCACACCTGGATCAGGATCCAAGAGCCCGGCCAAGAGGCTTCCAAAGGCGCTATGACGACAACCAGTCACGCTCAAAAGCTTGGCTGCAAATTCCTGGTGGCTGCAGTACAATGTGGAAGAAGAAGAAGAAGAAGAAAAAAAAATCAAGGAGGGCAAGACAATAAATCAAAAGGTACGATGCGCTCCCTTTTTCAAACCAAACGCTCAGGCTTGTTGGGATGACTCAAGAATTCTAACCGAACATCAACATTTTCAAGCGTCGGCTGTTCCAGATCCACCGCTTCGATCTATGCACAGGTGGCACAAAAGTCAAGCGGACGTGAACTGCCGACCGTGTGGACTCCACCCTGTTTGCCCGGTCGACAGCTGCTCCCACCTCGCTTAAAAACCGACTGCTTTGGAAAGTAGCCGGCAAGGATTCAAAAAGCTCATAGATCAAGGCTCTCGCATGCGAAGCATCGGTTGCTGGTACCAATACTTGACCAGAGTACAGCTGGCGATTTGCAGGTTCACATGAGTCCTGGTACGGTTTATGACTGGAGCCAAAGAGGCAGGAACTGTTGGCAACCATGACTACGCTGATCCTTCTCTTATCGGGGAACGAGTGTCAGCTTCCTTGCCAACGCTCTGATGATGGTGAGCCTTCACAACTCACCTCAGCCAGGATGCAGCCCAATGACCACACATCAGCAGGCAGACCAAACTGCGTGTTAAACAAGACCTTGGAGTCGTTTGCATCAAAAGAAAGCCAGATGAGTGCAGTAGAATGTCAGGTCAACACTTGCCTTTTGACAATCACGACAATCTGCACCTACCTCGGGCGCTCGGTACTGCAGCGACTGTAGATCATGCATCTGCTCCACGTACATGCCCACCATTTCGGGAGTTGCTTCAAAACTGTTGCCGAAATCCATGAGTTTGACAGCACAGCGCTGTGCGGAATCTAAAGGGGCGACAGAGCAGGGTTCAGCAGACGTGAGCCGGCGGGTGCATTTGGATAAGGTGTGGCCCATACGGGATAGCCATGTTCAAGTACACACCATCACAAAGCAAAATGTTATCTGGTTTGATGTCCGCATGAAGAATGTTGAGAATCTCCAGCAGCTCTAGGGCATGTAGCACTTGAACTGCAACCTTGGCCACAGCTTTGAGACGCAGCGCAACTAGACCACCAACAACACACCAGTCGTGACTCATAGCAAAGTGCAGGCAGCATAGCATGATAAAGTGAATGCCAATACGGGGGCTCGTGCGCAGGCTTCCAAGCGTACCAGGACTCTCACGCCGCGCAGAGATTGTCTGAGAGGCGCGGTCAATACAATGGTGGAGCGGTGCTGACGAGAGGAGCTACCATATCAAGCAAAAGTGCTCATCAAATCAAGCATGGCTAATCAGAACAGCATCCAAAGCATTTTACTCGCGGCCCGGCGATTCTTTGATTCAAACCTCAAAAGCAACGCAGAGGTGCTGCCCGGCCCAGAAACGCCCAAAACATCGACCAATCGCGTATGACCTGGAGTGGCAATCAAAAGAAAGCCAGGCCGGAGATGGGAGCCATGAGAGAGCAACCATGAATGGGGTGTTGACGAAATAAAAAGATGGGACAAAGTTGCCGGCGTCGTTCGAGATAGGTGCATACCCGGCAGGATCTGCTGCGTTGAGCCGCGAGATGATGTCATATTCCTGAACACCCATCTCAGCATATGAAGCATGCATCACTTTGATGGCGCGGCGAATGCCAGATTGGAAGGTATCCTGTGTAGCACATGCAATTGAACGAGGGCATGCGTGAGCGGTCCCTTGTGTCCCTTTATCATAGATCAGGCTCCACGCGGCGCGCGGAATATCAGCGATCCGTCAGATAAAAGCAATCTTTACCTCCACTTCAACCAGCGTGGCAAAGCCGCCCTTGGCAAGGACGCGGGTAAAGGCGTATCGCCCCTGGAACAATGGGACGGGATGTCGCGCGACAAAACTGCCATCGGCATCCGTCATGAAGGTCGGGACCAATGCAGTCTTATCTGGCTTGCGCCGGTCGCTTATGCTGGCATATAGCCCTTGCAAGCCAGCCGTCATCCGTGCTGTAATCGACATTGTGTTGGTCGGCCTGAAGTGTGTTGGCGTCAAGACAGCCGACCCCACCCCGCGATCGGCATAAAACCTGGCACCCACGGTATCCTGCCCACATGCATTGATAGGTCCAGCAAGACAACGGCAAACGCTGATAGCGGAACCGTGTCGCCACTTCACCTGCCCAACTGGCCTGCACCGGTCGTGGCAAGCACCCCACCAATGCACCGGATGATCTGTTTGACAGTGAAACAGTCGCAGCAGCCAGGGCGGCCAGCCCGAGTTTGAGTTTTTTTTTTTTTTCCAACGGTCAATGCATCCAAAAAAAAAAAGAACGGCCAGTACTCACACACTCACACACCAAAGGACGAAAAAATGCTGACAATCAAGACCTTTATTGGTTTGCGTGGTGGCGCTTGAGCCGGCGCTGCAGGAGTTGAACCTCCAAGCGTAAGCCCTGGTTGAGTTGATGGAGGTGCCAGCGCTGCTTTGTCAAAGCAATAATCTCGTCTTCCAGCTGATGAAGAACGGTTGAGCTGCTCTCTGCTGCCGCAGGGGTGGTAGCTGTGGCCTCCTCGTTGTCCATCTCAAATGCACTCCTAACATCAGGTGTAAATATTTGTGAGGAACACGGTTATCATCATAAGATCAAAGTTCAGTTCTTTCAATCTGGGATGAACGGGAGGCAATGCCATCATTATTTTGGGCTCATTACCTGCGAGCAGAACGAAAAAGCCAAGCCCTGCGGATCGTCGAGCCAGGGCCCAAATGCAAATGCGTCCAGATGATACCAAAGCAATGAATGAAAAAAAGAAAAGAAAGAAAATAAGGCCGAAAAACGGAATAAAACCGTCGCTCCCATAGGAATTGGTTTTGTCGACAGCTCACTGTCAGACACAGCATAAAGTTTGTTGCATTTGACACCCTGGCCATCGCTGCCTTTTTTCAAGATGATGGCCAAGAGGATCAAGCACGCCGCAGCGATTGCGCGCGTGCGGCCCTCATCAACCAGTGGCCAGCTGGGTGGCCTTCAAAAGGACATGTGCACGTTGCTCGATTCCCTCAGACTGATGGGTATGTTCAGAGAAATGCTCACCATCTGCCTTTTATGAATTCATCTGTCGATACAGCATATGGACCCAGAGACTCACAACAAATGTCCGTTGATGCACGACCACGACCATTGAAACCACGCTTCTTTGGTCTCAGTCTCGATTCAGGACTGGGGTGCTGCCAGTGAAGCGTTGATGACCATGGCCACGATGCTCACGGCTGCAGAGCCAGAAAGCCAGGCCTTGCTGCCCGACACGACTTTGGATTACCTTCAAAGTCTTTTCCAACGCCATTTCGCAGAGGTGAACTTTGACACGCCCTGCCACGCTCAGGTTGATCAAGTCTCAGAGCTGGAATTTTGTTACCTTGCTACTTTTTTCTTTTTGTCAACAGCTCGATGGTGCTCTCCTGACCCTCGTTCCCAACATGCCTCGGGTGTCACCTGGCATCGTGCGCGAGGTATGTTCAGTGGATGTGGTTTTGGCAGGCGATTGAGCCCATCTGCATGCCAATGAAGGCACACGGAGCTGCTCGTGGACTTGAATTTCGCACACTGCTGATGGCCAACATGTTTGGGCTGACATTCTCCATATCATAACAGTTGGTCAAAATGGCATTGAGCCCGACCGAGATTCCGCAACGGCCTCTGTGGCAGGCCTTGCTCGCCATAGCACAGCAACAAGGTTTGTGCCGTAGGCTAGCAAATCATGACACACGCCTGATATAATATGCTATGTGACTCTTGAAACCGTCCGGCTCAATTGTGTATAGCAAGGCATGAGCCGCGCGAGCTTGTAGCTCATCGATACGCCTGCCTTGCTTGCATTGCACAGCTTTTGATACGCCTGAACTGAACAAATTACTTCCGTTCCTGGTACTTTGCACACGCATGTGCCTGTGAAAGCCGCTTTGTTCGTGGCGTCAAGTCATCTCAAGCAACGCTGTATGATATAGCTAGAGCTGCTGCAGACACCACCGCGTACGCAGTCGGATCCTCAAGTCACGGAGGAACGAGCCCGTTGGAATCTTTTCAAGGATGTGACCGTGTTATTGCTGACTCAACCTGTGTATCACGCTGGCCAACTACAAGTACGCTCCTTGGTACGGCTCGTGGCTCGTGAAAGACAGCCTAATAGGAGGTGTGCTGGATTTATGCAGGCGCTATCAGCCATACTGCCCAAGTGGGACCAGCCCCAAGCCGCACTTGACGTCGAGGCCCAGGCCTATGGCCCCATCGTAGCCGCTTGCTTACATGGCAACGGTACGTAAGGTCGCAGCTACGGGCAGAATCTTGCCAAAAAAACATAAAAAACAAAAACAAAAACAAAACAAAAAGAAAAAAACGGATGCACAAGACGCCAGTCTCACCGGGCATGCTGCGTGTGATCAAACGTTGTTGCTGGCGGGCGTCGGCAGCCACGGCGCTTCATCAGTTTTGGTCGAGCCAGGGCCGGCATGCCTTGTGGCACTATGCTCAAAGGTACGCGACGCACGTCAGCAATGGTGTTTGACGACGTGAACGATAGGACCATTGACAATTTTGAATACATCTCAGCATACCACAAGCCTTTCTGGATATTCTTGGAGAGAGCCTGCCCCTACGCGAGCCTCGTCTGTGTGGTCTTGACAACGAACAGGCGTGGAGCCGATTGCTCTGCACCCTGGAACATCCAAGTGTAGTCGTGGAGGCCAAGCTCAAGGTTACGGTACGGCCTGATGGCCCCAAACTTTTTTGTGCTCAATGTTCACCGACTTGTTCTTTCTCTTCCTCGAGAGACGGCCCATAAGCATGTCAAACCTTGCTTTTGTGGCTTTTCCATCACGGCTTGCCTCTTATCCTGGTCTTAAAACAATTTCATTTTCTTGTCAGCTGGCCCTTCTGGCCCACGATTCGGGGCCGCCAATGTCGGTTGGCAATTCTTTGTGCCGCGTGTTGGTGGATCAAGTTGCTGAGGCCAGCTCCTTGGATGCTCGACGAGGTTTGGCAGCTTGTTGCAAGGCAGCACTGATGCGCCTGCAACAGAACCACGCACAACCTCGCACACATGATCGCAGCACGCAAGTCAACTCTAGCCGCCGCGTGCACGAGGAAGTGTTGCCTAAAGCCTCTTGGCATCACTTTGCGCAGGTGTGCCCTCGAAGCTGGCGTCCCAAGTTGGTAACAGACCAAGGTCTGGGTCTCCCGGCGCTGAAATAAAAGTACAATGTACTTACCAAATTATTGACATGCCCAAAGCGGAAAGTTTTTTTTTCTTTGATGCATGTGGTCGAGTCAAATCTCAATGATGGAAAATCAAGGCCCAACAATGATGGTGTTGGAAGAGCGCCTTTATCAATTGATGCAACTTCAGGACCGGTCATGTTCGACTCATCATAAAGCAATGGTGCCATGTCCTCGGTGCAAAACTTAAGCAAGATCTGCTTCCATCGCTTGTACCACGCGCATGCGGAGTCGACGCTGAGTGTCGAGTCGCTGTTGAGGTGCATGGAGCGAGGAGGACGCGGGCGCGTGGCCTTTGCAGGTGAGCGGGTATTATGCAAGCAGTTTCGAGTGAACTCAAGCCAAGACTCACCGCCCGGTGTGCTTGTTTCTGACCCACAGCCTGCAGCTGGCGAACCAACTGTGCAAGCTGAGTGTCACGAATCTACAACGTGGCCGAATCGAAGGTGCTCGCGTTAGGTTGGAGGAGTATTGCTGCACTGGCCCCCGGCTTTCAAAGGCACGGGACTCACCTCTCGCCCTTGAACCAGCGCAGCTTCAATGGCCGTCATGGTCGCCTCACATCGCGACACAACACTCTCCTGGAAACGAACAAGTTAGTGATGAGAGCAGACGGCCTTTTTCATGACGATCTTGGACGGAGGCCACAAACCGCCGTCTGCAAGCTCGCCACGGCGGCGGCCACCAGCTCGGACACGCTTTGAAAAGAAACCTGGAGATGACCAGGGGCATGGTCAAATGAAGAGTGAGCATGCATGGTTGCGCAAAGCTGACGCTTACCATCTGCAAGTCGTGTTTGTCATGAACCGTACCTGATCTGGCAAGCTAGGCGCCGTGCATTGCTTCAGCTGAGACTGTGCAGAAGTGAATTGCTGGGAAAGCTCAGCCAACGTGGCAGCTTGACCGGTCTGTAGGGTCTTGAAAGTTAACTCGATCACATCTTTTGAACAGCATGCACCAACTCAAAAGTCAGAATTTGACTCACCCACCCATAAACAGCAAGTCGTTGCTTTCAAAAAGGCAAGAGCAAGCCGGCTGCGACACGCACTTTGCAGTTTGTCAAGCTGTTTCTTTCGGGGGGCGGCGCCACCCTTCGTTGACTTCATTTTGGCCATAAGTGAGGCCAGCGTCCTACATTGGTGGGTTGACGGGCAAGCCGGGGATTCAGGCCATACAATGAATGAGCACTGCAGCGTCTTCTTTTTCTGCTCTGATGTGAATGGCATCAAAGCTTGTGGTTCGGGGTAGCATAAACATATCGATGGCATCATCATCATCACCACCACCACCACTACCACCACCACAGGAAATCGCCTTACGTTTCTCCATGCTGCTCGTCGTCGGAGCTGGCCTCGCGCTGCTGGACAGGCCGGCTTCATGAGCAACATGTGCAGAACAGTGGCCAGGCTAAATGGCGGGACGTTGGGACAGACCGTGGAGGCTCGCCGTTTGGCGGAGGCGTTGCGTGCCATCTCGTTTGTCTTGTCGATGTGAGACTTGACGGTTGACGATGTACTTTTGGGCTTTTGGAAGTGCCGTCGCGTCGTCACTCTCAGTCTGCAGAGAAAATGCATGTCCATTCAAGTGAACGCCAAGAAGAAGAAATTGTCGACAAAAGAACCGACGGTTTTGGCGGGAAATTCTGTCTGACATTGTTGTTGTGTCCGATGCCACGCACTTCTTCTCACTACTTGCATAACCTTGAAGCACAAATCAGAAGGCCCTTCTTCATCTCGGCGAGGGCCAGTGAGCTCTTTGGGACGGACAGGGCCTGGGGTTGTGATGAGGTGCTGATTGCGTTCATTTCCATACTATCAAAGACTGTGGTGTGGTGTGGCACAAGCAACCCTTCTCTTTCTTTTGGCCATTTACAATACACCGGTGTTTGCGAGATTCGACCAAGAGATGGCGCCATCTGCAGGCGAAGCGCTGCCTTTGGAGCAACAGTCAGGGCGCAATGCGCAAGGAAACCATGTTCCCCTCCTTGTACGTGATTGTGTGCTGCCGGGCCTTGCCACGTGCCATGTGGTGCATCAGTTGCCTGTTGGTGCTCACAGCCCTGGCTTTTGGTGGCTTACCGATCATTTGTCTACGTTGGGTTGCGTGTAGGACGCGTCCTGGGTGACGCCGCTGGACATCCTCCCCTACACGGCGCCCGAAGCCTTTATGGACGATGCCTCTCGTGAACAGCGTCTGGACATTCTCTTTATGCAAACTCGAGACGTCGAGCATCTGCTGCGTCTGCCCTATCACGTGTTTTGGAGCCAGGTAGGAGCGCCGGCATGAAGCGGCTCGACCAGCACGGTTGTTGAGTCGCGTGTGCTCATGGACCACTTGGTTTTGCTACTGAGCGCAGGCATGCTTTGATACGAAGTTGCACACGTTTCTGGAGCATGTGCTTCGCAAAAGTCCGCGTCAACACGACGTGCTTTTGCAATCAACACTCGACCCGGCGGTGGCCGAGGCTGAGTGGCGTCTAGCTCAGGCGGTGTGTGGACCTGTCCGACCATCACCTATCACAACCCATGCGTTTTTTATTTCGCGGTATTTATGGCCTCAGACTTGCCATTCATGAGGTTTTGGGTCTGCGGTTTTAGGTGTTTCGCGTCTTCCTGAGGCTTTCAACACATCGCGAGGACAAGCAGCACCACATGTCTCCGTCTGCGTTCGGCGAGCTCATTTATAATGTTGGTCGCGCGCCTGCGTCTGCAATTTCGCTTCTTCCCTGAACCCGACTGCATATGGCGCCCAACTGATCTGCCCGGCCTTGGTCCGGACAACACTAAATCTTTGATGGATATTGTAGAACTGGTTGTTTGACGTACCCAAGCTCATGGACCTTGCAGTCCTTTTCTCGACCGCCAATCCACCTTTGGTAGCCAAGATGCTCACCAACGTCTTCACTCACAGTCCGAGCTACTTTGAGGATCTGACAGGCAGTTTGGCTCAACTGGTTCTATTGTGTCATCAGACTGCGCTTCAACACGGTCTTGAAGGCGTGTTGGAGGGTCTTGACCAGGCCCGGGCCATCCTGGGCACCTCCAGTGAAATGGTTGCTTCGTGGAGCAAGGCAAGCACGGATTTGACTGAAGCCCCCTCCGATGAAGTGGCTGACTTGCTTTCCTACGTGATTGATTTGGCCGTGACGCTGCGAGCGTTTGTACGCTCCGTACCACTGTGCCGCGAGCAAGTGCACTACACACATCTCTTGGCCGGTGTCCTCGCGTTGGGCTCACAGGTCCTCGAGGCGACAGTGACACGCTATGGACCAGCAACAGATACGCCACTGGCCAAGGCCGAGGGCGAGGATCGTTTTTTATTTGCTCTGCACGCCCTGGCAGGTGACTCGCTGGCTGACTTTGTACACGAAGTGCTGTTGGTGCTCTTCTTGCAGCCTCTGCGGGCTGCGGCACCGGCGGACGAGGATTTGCACGAAGAGCTGGAGTGTCAATTGTATGACGTGCTGGCCGACGTGGTGCAGGCCTCGTGGTTATGTGGAGAGCTGACGGCCGACAAGCGACTAGACACGCTGTTGGCCGACTTGAAGGCCTTGGTGTTTGATCAGGCCCGCCTCGACTTTTTTGTGACAGCCTTGGCCCAGAGTGGAGTTCCAGAGGCCAGCACTGTAGCTACAAGCGCAAGCAAGTCATCTGCCGTTGGTCCAGCCACTTCTGCGGGTGCTGCTGCTTCTGCGGGTGCTGCTGCTTCGGCGAGTGCGGCCACTTCAGCAGGCACCGACCCGGCTGTTGAGCAGATCAAGGAAATGATGCCCGAATTGGGTCGAGAGTTTATCCGGCAGGCATTGGCCACTTGTGATAGCGCCGAGCAGTTGGTGATGATGTTGCTGGAGAACAATCTGCCGCCTGAACTCGCTGATCTGCCTCGTGATCTGGAGAGCCCAGTGCAGGTTGAGTCCAGAGCTACAACAGAGGTGCAGGCTCAGCAGAACGGCGAGCGCGACAAGGATCGAGATGGACTCGTGGCCCCCAGCGTATACGATAATGATCAGTTTGATGTTTTCAGTGGCCGCGCGATTGATGCGAGTCGCGTGGCTCGCGGAAAAAGGTGGGTCTGTCCGTGCCCCCGTGGCGGTGGTTGGCAGCTGCTGGGGCCCCATGAGGGCAAGCGCTTTGTAGGCTCATGGTTTTGCATGCACTGATTGACAAAATGACAGCAAGGGACGTCGCAATGACACGCACCTGGACACCGCGGATAAGGATCGCATTTTTCGGCAGTACGGCACGGTCCAAGACACTGCCCACCACAGTTCTGAAACCTCAGGTCTGTGCGCGGGCCCAGTATCAAATGGTCACAAGCTTCATGAGCACGAGAGTGGGCAAGGCCACCTTACACATTTGCTCTATTGTTGCTTTTTTGCTGACATGGCATGTACATTTTTAGGGGCGGGCGCTGGTATCATGCCCAGCAACGTGGCGGAGGAGGAGTTTTCAGTTTCGCACGAATGGATGTACGAGGACGAGTACGACGATACGTACGATGGGTTGGGTGACGAGGGTGTTCTGGAGCCAACTCTGGACGAGGTTTGTTTCTGCTGTTCTTTACTGTACCCATTGAAACCGTTTTCCGTCTGCTGATGGCTGAGAAGTTTAAGCGAGGCGTCTAGCACGGTGGAGCAAGGCCAAGAGTCGACTCTGTGGTGCAACTGACGGTTTGCATTGCGCCCTGTCTGCCAGGAGCTGGGGCCAAACCCCAATCGGCACTTCAACGCTTCCCGCAATGGGCAAAACGATGACGATGGCGATGCCGATGGCGCTTCCACCGATGGACTAAGTTTGCCGGCCCCGGGCAATTCCTCTGGAACGGGCAGTGCGGCGAGTGGGCCAGGTTGGTGAATGGGCCGTGGGTTTGCTCGATGTGGGGTCAAGAGCGAATGTGATGGCCAGCAGGGTCAAACACCTGTCTGGTCCGCCCTGTGTGGTTTGTGCTCACCAGGTGATGCCGTTTGAACCGCCCACTCTAGGTGCAGCACCCCATCGATTCAACACGGGCAATGTGACAGCCGCACGAGGCCGAGGCGGGCGCCACACCGGTAGGTCTTGCAATGGCATGCTGCCCCTGTATTCGAGTCTGATCGCAGTCAGTTGTGCCGCGTTGTCATGTGTTGCAAGAGCCTCTGACTTATATCATGTCTTGTTTCGATGCAGGCACGCCTATGGCACGCGGGCGGGGCGCCGTCTCCGAGACGTGGCATAATCGTCGAAAGAAAGAGTCAAACAAGGGCAAATATGGAAACCACAACCGAAAGAGTGGTGCTCTCAAGAAGCAAATGAAGGCAGGCTCGGTCCCCACGGCGCCATCTTAGTCCCACTGCATCCCATCCCAGAAATCGAGAAGAAAGTCACCGTTGTTCACATACTCTTTCTTTTGTTCACATGTCAGAAGAAACAAGACAAAAAACAACACAAAACAAGAGACACTAAAGTTTTGAAGTTTTCTTGTGGGGTTTCTTTTCGCACGAACCGCGTTGCTTGTGGGCAGAGCCTTGTGCTCGTGATTGCTGGAGTGCCCGCCACTACCACCTCTTCCTTCTTTTCTATAGGCTGTCTGCTCACGAGGACATCAGTGGGATGGATTGCTGCTGTGGAAGCTTCTTGCAAAGCTTGCTGGTCTCCTTTGGTGTTCTGCCGGAGGAGGCGGTGAACCGGCCTGCGGCGCGTCCCAAGTGTCGGGGCGGTTGCTGTCAGAGTGAAACTACCTTTTCAGAGACTCTCCCGGCAGGTCCTGCTCCTGCGGGTGCGGCCCGAGGTCGCCGTGGTACCAATGGAAACTGAATGCATGTGCATGCCCCTGCGGCGTGCGGTATAAATTTTTGTCTGGCTTTGAACGCCTGTCTTCAGGGTTGCAAGTTTTGCGAGCGTGCGAGTGTGCAGGTGCGCGCGCGTGTGTGTGTGCGTGGCCGCTCAATAATGGGCTTTCAAAAGTTTCAAGTCTATTTGCCCGATCCTTCTCTCGCGCCGTCTTTCTTCGCAGGTTGTGAGTTTGCGCGTGTATGCGAGCGAGGAACGCTTTTGCCCCAAGTTGATCGTGAAATTGAGAGTATCACCATGTTCCTTGAGCCTTGGACTTCATTCGCATCCTACGTGCTTGATGCTCCACTACCACTCGCCCCCCCGCCACCTCTCCTCGATTGGATCGCACGTCGCGCGCCAGATTGCATCCAGCAGCACCGCGAGGCACACACACACACAGAGCAACACGAGAGAGAGCACGTTGCACACATCACATCGGACCACTTTTGTCTGACATGATGCTGCTGCTCAACTATTCCTGCTGCTGGCTTTGAACAGTTGAGAAAGACGATGGACGGTGGCGCTCTTGATGGATATGATAGTCCCGTCACCTCGGGCTGCTATATCGCTGCGAGGCTCGCTGAGACATGTCAGGCCGTTCGCTGCTACAATCGGATCCAGCCATGTGTTCTGTTGGCAGCGGCCGCCATCCCTTTCACCGAGCACGACAGGCAGTGCACACCTCATGTCCGCTTTACCCAGAGGGGTTGTTTCATGCATGCAATGCAGAAATGGAGAGCACCAAGGCCCGTCTTCTCTTGGCATTGCCCCTCATGCTGCACCTTGCGCACCGTGCTCGAGGCCGAGCGCTGAGATCCACACTTTCAATGACTTTACTGTGAGCAAGGGCAGTGGGGTGGAAATTTGCGCTGTGCTTGAACAGAGAGTGACTGTGACCATTTTCAGTGGTTGCACTGTCATCAGACTGCTGCCTCCACATGGGGCCAGCCGTGACTTCCTGCTCCCACACAACGCACGCCATGACCTTGCGAGCCGAGTTGAACTACTCCCAGGGACCTGCCAACGAACGGCCATACATTCATACGTATGAGCGACCTCCGGAGCTGGCGGCTGCTTCAACCCGACCTCTGAAAACGAACTTGGAGCAGGTGCCTGTCGAGGTGACCGTCCATGATGGTCGTGTGGCCGACCCGCCGTGCGCCATGGAGACGCATGGGTTTACGCTCATCCAGGATGCACAAACTAGCTTGAGTCGTGATGAATTTTACGACGGCAACAAGGTGCGCAAGGTGTATTATCCCGAAATAGAGGCCATGTTGTGTGAACAGCTCGGCTGTGGTCACGCGCGCGTGCTGCACCACGCCGTACGAAATGAGGAGCTGGAGCCAAACCGCAGCGATGTCAAAGGCTATGGTCTCGCGGTTCACACAGATGCCAATAGCAATGCGTCCCAAGACTTGTTTCGCCAGTTTGCTCCTTTGCTCGACACCCAGTACCACACTGGTCGCTTTCTCTTTCTCAATGTTTGGCGCCCCATCGGTGACGAGCCTGTCTCCAACAACCACCTCGCCATGTGCGATCAGCGCTCCCTCGTGTCTCCGGACGACTTTGTTGTCTGTGACTTTTGCCTCCCGGGGACCTCTGTTGAGGTGTACCGCCCACCGCCCACCAACGCGTCCCGCCACACGTGGTACTGCTTCCCGCGCATGACACGCAACGAAGCCATACTCTTCAAGCAGTGGGACTCCGACCCTACGCAACTGGCGCGCATTTGCTATCATACCGCGTTCCGGGATCCCAAAGCTGCGTCCTCGGCTCCTGTTCGTGAATCAATCGAAGTGCGCTGCATCTGCTTCTTTCCCGATCACGAGCCCAACACCTGTCCACCGCTTCCTAAGGACCCCGATCCCATCGCAGCCGCCGCCACTCTGGTGGAACAAGCCGTGAATATGTTGTCGGCGTGGCCCGCTGCTGCCCAGACCTGGATCCGCGTCAGCTTATGGCTTGGGCCTTGGGGCGTGCGCAGCGTCGCCCGGATCCTAGCTCAAGATGGGCAAGGACGTTTTGGCTTTGCTAAGCTCACCCCGTCTGAGAAGGGCCTCCTGGCTGATCGACTGGTTGAGCGGGGGCTTGCCCACAAACTACAGAAAGGCTTGCCCCCCATCAATCCCTGGCCCACGTTGAAAATGGTCATGGCTATCTTTTTGGGGGCTGTGCCTGCCTACTGGTGGGGCCACGCCACAGCACCGGCCTAAGCAAAGATGCCGACTTACATATGTGGCACTATCATGCGGGTTTTCGGTGGAAAGCCCAAAACTGTTTGACTTGTGTCTGTTCAATGTGGGCGGCTCGGAGTGGATGATGGGAAAGGGGCCCTGAAGATAGAAGTCTGCTGTCTTGTTGCGAGAAGACGCATTTTCGGCTCAACTTTGAAGAACCAACACACGACACGACACGGCACAGAGAGACGAGTCAATCCATTGTCAAATGTGGATCATGACGCTGATAATTGAGCTCACCACCTCGCCCGCGTCCCTCACAAAACGCACAACGCTAACAAAAACGGGCAGACACCCTCCAAACAAGCCCGCATCCAACGCACATGGTGCGCTCAAATGAGAGAGAGAGAGAGAGGAAGGGGGGGCGTCTCCTGGACTAATGTCCGTCTTTGATCAGCCTGCACGTCTTGCTTCTGTTTTTCATTTTCATTTTTTTTTCTTCTTCTCAGGCCAAGCAATGATTGCTGGGCTATTCTTGTGCGGGCAGGATTTAGAGTCAAGTCGGCTTGAAACTGACTCTTGTCAGGCCAGCCCACGGAGGGGAATACAATCTTGCGCGCTTGCACGGTTTACACATCGTAACCGATGATGCTGCCCTTGCCGATGATCTCACCTGCATGGCGCAAAAGCTATGAGCATGACTCTGAAAGCAAAAAGGAAACAAAGCACATGATCAGTGACGCACCGAAGAAAAACCACATGGCCACCTCAACGCCCACAAGGGCACCGCTAGCGGCCTCCTTGACCGTAAGGTTCATAAACTTGAGGCTCTGGGCGTCCTTGGCCAAGCCAGTGAGGCCTAAACCGCAAAGCATGGTCAGCATGGCCAGGAAGATGAGTGTAGACGAGGCGACATCTGAAAGGACGAGGGAAAAAAAAAGTACAAGAAAAGTATAGCCCGGCCAGCACAGCCTCAGCGAGAGAAACGCAGGCGCACCCTTCTTGATCTGAGGCCACTGGGCTGGGGAGGGAGGGGCAAGCTCCTTTGAGGCCAGTGCGGCGAAGCGGGACACCACAGGCTTGGCCGCCACCACGAGGTCTGCAACATCAGGATTCGGCGCACGGCACGAGCATCAGTCGGGATGAAAAAAAAACAAAGTATGAGGGGAAACAAGTCAAGGGTGCCAGCGGGCCATGGTGCGTCAGAGGCCCCTGTTGTCCCGCGTGGTGTGGGCATAAAACCGAAAGACGCAAAGATGACGGGACGAGCGAAGAAAGGTACTGACCACGGCCGGCAACTTGTGCCATGTTAATAACCTGAGGAATCTTGCTGGCCATTTTGATCTAGAAGCAGTCAGAGTCCAACAACATCCGCATGAGCGACATGCACCGGCTGTGCAGCCGCACTACGGAAGCGCCTCGTGCCGTGCTGCCGAGGGGCTTGGACGAGAACAAAAGGCTTTGAAAACACATCCAACACACACACACACACACACACACAAGAAGGACAAAGAAAATAGCAAGTGCACAGGCCTGATCGAGGCAGACTGGCACCCCTCTCCAAAAGCACAAGCCTGCCCCGACCACGCGCTGACCCCCCCGGACCACTACGTCTGTCCGGCTACCGTTCCCGCCGAAGCAGTGGGCCTCGTGCAACGCCCAGCCGCCATCAGTGCATACCGTGTGTGAAGCGAGAAATGGAGAGACTACCAGTCTCCAATGGAGACTCGCGGAGACTTGGAATGAGGTTCTCTCACTGGATTCGATATCATTTACTTGTGCGTTTCCACACACACACACACACAAGCGGAAGGTTCCCCTTTGATTTGGTCGCGCCTGCAACTCAAGCTTGAGAGGAAAGACTTGGGAGCAGGATAAGAAGGACGGAGCAGGATGTCTGGTGCACCATCGTCAGGGCTGTCTGGCATTGGCATGGCCAGTGGCGTTAGCTTGAATCCCGGTGCTTATATCACCGGCGCCAACCAAGCCGCAGCCGCAACGGCGGCGCAGTCGGCTGCGGCTGTCCCGAGCACCTCTGGGGACGGTCAGTCAGCCAGCAAATCTGGCGGCGCTGGCGCTGCTGGAGGAAGCAAGAGTGAATCCACACCCGTTCCAAAGCGCACCAAGGTGGCAGCACCTGTACTCGTCACCGGCGATCAGCTAGCCGCCTTTTCCGAGGCCCTCGATGATTTTGTGCCCGTCATCCCGGACGAGGTTATTCAATATTACCTGCGCAAGGCTGGCGTCGACCCCTCCGATCAGCGCGTGTATGTTTTTGGCATCTGCAACCATTTTGCTTGTTTGTTCTTCTTGCGCTCGGCGGGCTCACTCAGGCTTGGTGCCATGGAATAGTGTGCGAATGGTCTCTCTGGCCACGCAGAAATTTGTGGCCGATACGGCCTTGGATGCCATGAATCACAACCGTCATCGCGCCCCGAGTAAAAAGGGCAAGGTGCGCGCAGTCTTTGAGTGGCTCACCATGGCTCTTCCTCGTCTTGGCGTTCTGTTTTTTTTGGGGATGTGAAGTTGCTCATGGCTGTGCTCAACTGGCTTGTGCAGGAGGACAACCGCATTATGGGCATGGATGACTTGTCCTTTGCTTTGAAGGCTCAAGGCGTTGATATTGCCAAGCCAGCCTACTATACCTGAGCGTCACAGGTTCCTCACAGATCCGCCTGGATGCCCGGAGGTCTAGTTCCCTTTCTCGTGAGGCCTGGCGGATATGTGTGTGCTCGCGACTATTGTGTGAGTAGGGGAGGGAGGAACAGGTGTGATTGGGTTGGCTGCTTTGACCAGCTGTTGCAGGGCTGCGCCCTTTGCTGTAAACGTTGTGCGGCATGGTCTCACACCACCGCGCTAACAATTGCATTCAGTCATGTTTATCTGATCTGACGTGTCTCCAAAGGGTTAGTTGGTCACGGAGGACGTTTCACTTTAATTTGTTCAGTTTGAAAACATTCGAATGGGATCCGGCATCTGATCCCCGCCTTACAAATCATCGAAAAATCCCCTGCAATACAAGCAGAATGGCAATTGGGTTGACATGAGATTAAATGGCTCGAGTGAGTGGTGTGCACACTACCCTTGTCCATTAAAATAGCGAGAGCAAAACACAATCTATCACGATAAAAAAGAATACTCACCCGCTGGGCGGCGGCAGGGCGCTGGCAACCTCCTCCTCATTGCCGTTGGTATCACCATCAGCGTCATCCATGCGCTCATCCGCACGATCTGCTTCCTCATCAGCCAAGTTCTCCTTGTCCTCCTCGTCCTCGTCCTCGTCATCATCGTCATCCTCCATATCCGAGTTTTGGTAGTAGGCCCCCGTTTCCCGTCCCTGGAGCAACATCATGCCAGTGTCATTGAATAGTAAAAAGGTGAGGGTCATTGGGCATGGGTGCATCAGGGCACTCTGAACTCAGGAGACAGATAAAGCCAGAGGCATGGCAGAACAAACCTGGGCTGCAGCCTCGATGATCGGGTTGATGGCATCGGTCGACCAAAAGCGGACCGTTTTATCGTGAGAGCAAGAGGCCAGATACGCCTCATCCCCTGTTCCGGTACAAGGTGGGCGAAGGAGTTGCGTGCGCCAATGACGGTGAGAAGCTTCGGACAGGCAATTGGGGCCTTTCCACAATAGGTTGGCTCAGCCTACCAGAAAGGCGCACGCGCTCAATGGGATAGGCATTATGCTCGCCCAAGACGCCCAGGACCTTGTTGGGCAGGACGGAGACGACGCTGCCATAATCAAAGGCGCTTGTCAGGATGGTCATCAAACGGCAGTGCTGCCTCTGGGAGCCGATATCGCGCGGCATCACCCTGTGTGCCCCGCTCTGAACAACCAGAAGAGGAACAGGTACATGCACACCCACCGCAAAACACCATCAGAGCTGCCAGACACGAGAATGTCCTCGTTGATTTTGGCCAAAGAATCCACTGAGGTTGGATGGTTGGTCATGCGATCGGTAAAGTCACCCCACAAGCCCCACTGTGGTCACACAAGCCAAGCCTCAAGTGAGAGCATGAAATGCTTTTGAGGGCTAGGTCAGGCATCTGCGTCGGGAGTCGGAAGGATCGGAACTGCAAAGGTCGTACCGAGAAGAGGTTGATCGTGCCACCTTGGGTGCCGCAGACAACCTTTTTGTGATGCTTCATCACAACAACTGACAAGAGTTCGTCCTCCATCTGGTCTGAGACCTGCAAGCCCAGCCTCATGAGGATTTGCGACACTGTGCCACAAAGAAGTCGTGGTCCAAAAGCCTGACACGGAGCAAGGCATCGGTAGCTGGTTTCGAATTAAATGAAAAATCAAACCTTGGACTTTTGAGTATTCCAGTTGTGAGCACAAAGACGCCCGTCACCTCTATGAACAGAGCCGACAAGGTCAGCTGAGGCAGGAAGCTGCTCAGGGAGGGGGGCGCGGACACGTTGTGACTCACCCGGTGGAGATGATGGTCTTCTTGTGTGGCACCACGGTGATATCTGAGACAAAGTCCTCGTGTGACCGGTAAGTGGCAATGCTGGTACGCTGGCGCAGGTCCCAGAGCTGTAATTTCGCATTGTGGAGGGCAGCCGAAATTAGAGACACCTGCTGTGAGCTCCGACTGGGGTGATGGTCGGAGAGCAAGATATCAGCGGGGGCCTTGGAAAACCATTCAGACCTTGATGTGGCCATCGTCGTCCCCCGACGCCAACATGCCCTCACTTCCGAGCTTAGCGATGACGTTGATGCTGTGGCTGCGCAGGCCCACCACGTGCAACCGTACACGCCCATGAGTGTGATTAGACTGCAGCTACCAATGTGGCTTGAGACGGAGCACCTGATACATACTCATGGGCTCGAGATTGCTTGTACAAGGCTACGCCCGTGGCGACGTCGACCACCTGAAGGCTCTTATCGGAAGAAGCGGAGAAGAGGTCTGGAGATGTTGTAACAGGGGCATCATGCGAGCATGAGGACGGGCGGCTGGCGCTGTGCAGGCGGAGTGACGAGACATTGCTTTCGTACATGCACCATCGTCAGAGAAGGAGAGGCAGCGACACGCAGCATCATGGCCTTCAATCTGGGCTTTGAGCTCGTGAGCCGGGCCGTAATTGTGCAGAAAGATGTCACCGCTGATGAGGCCCGACGCCACAATGGGTGTGGAGGGGTGAAAGGCGACGTCAAAGACCTCATCCTCAAACTGAAGTGGCGGCAGAGCAGCCATGCTAGCGGTCCTAATCAATCACACAGCTAATCGCGCCTGCTTGCCTCGCAGCAGCAACAATACTGATTCTTAAGCCACCACTTCGCACGCGCGCGCAGCCAGCCGCCGACGGCAGAGAAAGGAGCCGTCGATCCACAAAGTCGGGAAATTATGAAGCGCAGCAGCACACGCGGACCCCAAAGGTCACTTTGTCATCATGTCAGACTTTTCGCGCGATTGAGTGTGTGTGTGTGTGTGAGCAGTGAGCAGTGAGCTCACTGCCTTCCATCAGCTTGGGCCAAGATGGGCGGTGGCGCTGATGGCTGTGCGGGTCATGTTCATGGGCCTGCACCGGTGACGCAAAGCTTGGCTGAGATGGACTTTGAGCGAAGCATTGTTGGTGCGGCAGCGGCGCAGGACTGGCCCCGCGTGCTGGCTTGTTTGCGCCAATCGGAAGGCCGGCAGCAGGCCCGATTGACAGACCGAGACGGTTACACGGCTTTGGTACGTGCGCGAGGACGAATGGCGTGTGTGTGTGTGTGTGTGTGTGTGTGTGTGTGTGTGTGTGTGTGTGTGTGTGTGTGTGTGTGGCAGAAGGGATAGTCGTGTGATTGCTGATCGGTCGGGACTCGTGGCAAGCCAAGGATGGCAGCTCGCTTACATTTGCCTGCTCGGCGCTGCATGGCACACCGCAGCATTATGCAGCCCGGTACGGCCAAGAGAGAGTCGTGGAGGAACTCTTGCGAATGGGTGCCGACGCCAACGCTGCCACGCTGCTGGGGCGTGCCACGCCCGTGCATCGAGCGGCGTTGATGGGTCACGAAGCAGTCTTACGCCTCTTGTGTCTGCACGGTGGGGATTTGGATCTACCTGATGCTGACGGCGAGACCCCACATGCCAAGGCCCAAGCCCGAGGACATGGCACTATGCTTGAGCGAATTAGAACATCATAAACTCAGGTCCAAGCCATGCGCCAATGGCACCACAAACGTCCTTAAGCTTCGTGACTCGACATAGCAAAAACCCCTCCCCTGTCCCCGATGAATTCATCCTTCTCTTACGTCCCTGAAATGTTTCTCCTGATGAGAACTGCGTTCCTCATAGCCGAGACTCGCGCTGAAAGCTCTCATCGGGATCAAGCGAGTGGCTCAAAAATGGGGGATAACAAAAGAAAGAAAGAGAAAAAAAAGGATGGCCACGAGCTCAATTCCACCATGGGGCAGAGAAAGAAAACAGAGACCGCCGGCCACGCCAGTTGTGTGCGAGCGTGCTCTGATCCAGGCGAGAGGGCCCGGACCAGTCATGGTCGAAGAAGCACTACTTATTTCTTCTTCTTCTTCTTGATGGGGCGGTTGACCGAGCGGTTGACGGGCTTGCCGGTCATGAGCACACCATCGTACTGCTGCTGGAACCACTTCATGGTGTCAGTCTTATCGATGCGGTGGGGGGCACCGACGCGGCTGTGCTTGCGCTTGCGGCGAGCAACACGGAAGCCCTTGCGGCCCATGACGACGTAGAAGTCCATGCCGAAGATACCGATTCCGGGATCGTACTTGATACCCAGATCAATGTGCTCGTCAATACCAAAGCCAAAGTTGCCGGTGGCCGAGAAGTTCTCCTTGTAGAGCTCGTACTCCTTGACCTTCAGGCCGCGCTCGAGGATCTCCAGAGCCTTCTGACCGCGGACGGTGCAGGAGACGGCAATCTTCTCGTTACGGCGGATGCCGAAAGTACGCACGGTGTAGCGGGCCTTGGAGAAGACGGGCTGCTGGCCAGTCAACTGCTCCAGAACCTTGGCGGCACGGGTGAGCTTATCACCAGACTCGCCAACGCACAGGTTAAGGCAGAGCTTCTCCAGGCGCAGCTCGCGCATGGGGTTCTGCTTGGCAGGGGCGCCTTCCGCCTCAGCCATCTTGCTGGTCGATATGGGGGTATCTATAGTCATGAGAGACAAGAATATGTGAGAGCTTGTCCGTCAATAAAGTCGAATGTTGTGGGGCATTTGCCGGTCGCGCGCACGGCCTCAGTCCTGCCCTGCGGCGCACACCCCAAATTGACTGCTCGGGGTGTGTGGCCAAGGCAGCCACCGAGACCCAAACTGGATGATGACATGAAAAGGGCACCGCTGAGGCGCACATGATTCACGACTCAAAAAGGCTCATTGCAGGTCGAATCCACAAAAGACCTGGCTGCCACAATGTGCTCGCGGCACCGCCAACCGGGTCTAGCTCGGCCGGAAACGCTAGACCTGATGACTCACCGATCAGCCCGAAAGAAAAGGCCACTTCAAGGTGCTCCGCCCCAGCGTGTATCAATGGCTACAATCAGCTTGAGTAGATTTTTCCTGGAAAACCTTTTCACAAATCAATACCAGGTATAACACCTGTTGTCAACCAAGGTGTCGCTTTGAGCTGGATTAAGAAAGTGTGCTCTTGAACACACTGTTCCCCCGATCAGCTCGCAGCGATCGGCTACACATGGCCGCAGAGGCTTCAAGGTGACAGGGACACCTTGAAGCCAACCAGACTGACACCTTGAAGTCAGATTCATGTGCCAATGTCAGCAATTATACTTGGTACCCCGCGGCCCTGGTCTGACACTTGGTCTCCTCTCGCCTGTCGATCTTGGAGAATAAAATTTCTTTGTCTCTCGCTTTCTCTCTCTGTCTCTCTTTCTCTCTCTGTCTCTCTTTCTCTCTCTGTCTCTCTCTCTGTCTCTCTCTGTCTCTCTCTCTCTCTCTCTCTCTCTCTCTCTGTGTTCTCTGTGTTCTCTCTCTCATTTCGTGAGCCGGGTGCTGCTCCTCCTTGGCAGTCATTGAATGGCATCTCGTTTGGTTGCGCCTTCTTCTGTCGCCACCTTGGTCCGCGACCGTTCACGCGCCGCCTGCGCGCGTGGGCTGTCTGTTTTTGCTTCCCGCAGTCTGGTTGGGGTGATCGATGGGATTTATGTAGGTATTGGTCTCTTTTGACCTTTTTGGTGTATTTTGGGTCACCGCCCCCCTTTGGTGCTTTGACCGAACTCGTTTGCGAGCTAGGCCGTGATGCTATTTTTCGTGTTGAAGGCTCATGGATGGCCCTCGGGCATCTTGTTCAGCAGTTCTTAGGCATAGCCATTGGCCCTCTCACTTGATGAACGAGGGTAGCTGTGCAAGGCGCCGCCACTTCTCGCTCTCGCGACCAGATCAAGAGTTGGCCGCCCGAGCCGGGCTCGCTCGAGCAAGAGCCGAGCCATCATGGCGCCAGCCTTCAACGCTCGCTATGTGGGCGCCGTGAAGATTGACGCCCCCGGCGGTCGAGACCTCATTGCTGAAACCATGAACAAGATTCGCATTCAGGCCCAGCAAGTCATCAAGACGCTCCTGGTCATCGACGATGGCGTGGTGAAAATTTGTGATCGCAATCGCAAGGACACCATGATGACTTCTACCAAAGAACTCGTCTCTTGCCATGGCCTCGAGCCCGGGAACGGCAACTTTGTTGTGCTCGTGGTTTTCCAAAATGGCGGTTATTGGTGCCATGGCCTCAACATGCGCAAAGAACACGCAGAAGGCGCTGCCAAGGCCCTGAAAACCCTTTTGGGTGGTGGTGATTGCGAGGTACAACCCTCCACAACCCGCCTTCTGCAGCCATCTTCCCTCTCCTGCCTGCCCTGTTCCTCTTGCTTCTGTGCTGCTACTTTTCACGACCTGTCCATCCCACCCTTAGATTGTTCCATCATTCAAGGAGAAGAAAGCCTCCAAATTGGAGCGTAAATTCTCGCGCAAGGCCAGCGTGAGCGTCCAACCCGCCAATCGCGCGCCCATGCGCACTGCTTCGGCCCCACCAACTGCGAGCTCCTTGGACGTCAATGGTGTCCAGCGCTTTCAAGGCATTTACCTGGGCATGGTGCCCGTCACTGAACTTTTTGGCACCGATGTCGTCAAGCGGGCCGTACATCGTAACTTTATCGAGCGGTCCCGCCTCAATCAGCGTGACAGTACCGCGGGCCTCGGCGACCCCGTCGTTGTTGAGGTTTCCATGGAGGCAGTTCGCACCATCGATAAGCAGTCGGGTTCGTTCAATCTGACACGCTGACCTGTGTTTCTGTGCCCCCCACCCTTGGACCCCCCTCATACCCTCATCTTGTCTCTGCTGCGTGCCCGGGCTCCTGCAGGTCTGCCGCTTGTGGCCGAGTTTATCAAAAACATCAGCTACACGTGTGTGCTGGATGCCATTGATCAGACCGACGTCTTTGCTTACATCGCCGTCAATAAGCGCATGGGCACAATCCACTGTCACATTTATCATGTGCCCAAGGGCTCGGGTAATCGCGCCTATGCCGCCATCAATAACGCCTTTAAGATGTTGGCCGCTGATGAGAAGGCCCGCGGTTCAAACCCTTTTGCCGTGACTGATCCCAAGCGTGAAGCTGCCCCAGACCTCCTCTTTCGGCACCAGATTCACCGTGCAGACCTCACGTACGTCCATGATGTTGTTTTGGCTGCCTAAGTGACTTGACCTCGTCCCCTTCTTGACCTCCTGCTCATTGTTTTTCTTGTTATTATCATCACGATGATGAACATTTTTTTCTTTGGTTTTCTCTTTTTCAGAGCCATTCAACAGATTGGCGCCGGCCAGTTTGGTGCCGTCTACATTGCGACCCATCGCATTCGTCTGGGCAAGGATCAGTATGCCCCCGAACCAGTACAACGCGCCGTCAAACTGCTACGCAATGCCGCCTCCACGGCCGACAAAGACGAGTTTACTCGCGAGGCTGAGACCATGCTGGTGCTAGATCACCCCAACCTCGTCAAGATGATTGGCGTGGCCGTGCAGCAGAAACCATGGCTCTGCGTGCTCGAGTACATGAAGTACGGCGACCTCAAGTCCTTCCTCTCCACTTGCCGCGAGAAAAAGATCCCCTTGCGTTATGGTGAAATGATTTATTTTGGCGAACAGCTGGCGTCAGGGTGTGGCTACCTTGCCTCACAGCGCATGATTCACATGGACCTTGCGGCTCGTAACGCCCTGGTGACCGACAACAACATTGTCAAAGTGGCCGATTTTGGTCTGACTCGCCCCATGGAGCCGGGCGTAGACTACCTCCTGCTGCGGGAGCCGATGAAGCTAGCCCTCAAGTGGATGGCCCCTGAAGGCATGGACAAGAAGTATTTTTCGGAAAAGTCCGACGTGTGGAGCTTTGGCGTCATGCTGTGGGAAATTGCCAGTTATGGTGCCAACCCCTACAGCCAGATTAAAACGCAAGAGATTCAGCTCAAGGTGCGCGAGGGCCTGCGCCTGAGCAAGCCCCCAGGGTGCTCCGATGAGTTTTACGACGTCATGAACACATGCTGGGAGCAAGATCCAGACAATCGGCCAAACTTTCGGCTCTTGGAGATGCGGCTCAGTGGCATACGTGAAGCCAACCCCACGCCGTCACGGGATGTCGGTTTGGTCGTGTCAAGTACCAAGGCTGGCAAAGGTAGCAGCTCCAGCCCTGCCCCCAGCGGGTCGCGTAAAGCAAGCTCGGATGCTTCCGAACCCAGCAGCCCTTCCGCTTCGACCTCGACCTCAACATCAGCGGCAGCAGCAGCGGCAGCAGCAGCAGCAGCCGCCATGGCTGCTTCCAGCGGAGGCTCGCTGCGATCCAGCCGCTCTGCATCGCGTGGCCTGCTTGCTCACGCCGCCGCCTCTGCCGTGGAGAACGGGGACAGTGACAAGGGTAGTCTTCGCAGTAGCAAGAGCCGAAGTCGCAAAACCTCAGCCTCCAGCCAAAGCGGAGAAGTGTCTACTTTGATGGATCGCATGCGCAACCAGTATCAAGCTGATCGTCAAAAGGAAATTTTCTGTACGTTTGTCATGCTAACTTGCTTACTGCGTGTTGACCATCCTAGTCGCTATCGAGCCTCTTTGCCGTATGTCCAGAGAGTTGAAGGCCTGTTTGTGCTCACAATGATTTGCCTTTTGGGTTGGCCCTTTAGCCACAAGAGCGACCCCGCCCATGTCTCCCTCACCCTTGGGTGGCGGCACAGCGAGTCAGGACCCGGACGACGAGGACGGGAGCGATTCCATTCTGCCGGCCGACATGTCGGCTTTTGAACACGAGCCAGCAGAACAGGAGACAGAAGTTGCTGCGGCTAGCGCGCACAGTGGCGATGGTGATGACGATGAGGACACTTTTGGATTTGAGGAGTAGATTAGGCGATGAAAATGTGTTTGAAGGCAAAATGAGCGTCCGCTTCGCTGCGTGGACAATGGTGTGCATATGTGTCCTGGCATTGAGATGATCGAAACAATCACGGGTTCCTCTTGAAACGCGCGTCGAAGCCTCACAATGTCCTCAAGCTCCATTGCGTTGTGTTATATTGAACATGTGCTCGTGTCATTCTCGTGTGCGCCCCCGTCCTGACTGTTTCTTTTATACCTTGAGTTGTTGGGCACCCATCAGTAGCTGTGACGTGATGTTGTGTTTTGACTTCTTTCCTTCTTTTCCACCAATGGGGCTGCTTCCTTTCCCCTTGTTTACCATCCAGCCTTGCCACTGTCACAAAATTTCTTTTTTTCCTTTTTTTTTTTTTTCAAAACGCCCAAGCTAATCGAGAGAGACAGATGTGAAACAAGGAAAATCCAATCAGATTTGTTTTCAACTTTCAAGGAGTCTTTTGATATTGGGTGTGTCGCGGTGTAGTTTTATTTTTTGGATCTTGACGGCGAACTGGTCGAGGATTCCGCCCCATTTGAGCTCGCGCTGGCTCGCTCGCTCACTCGCGGTAACATTGCAAAAACCTGCGGTACTGTCTGCCAGAGTCTGCGGTGCTGGATTGCATTGCCACTTGCCGCAAGCCTAGCTTGAAAAGGTGTTCCAACGGATAGCAGGATTTCACCTCGGATTTCACCTCGGAGAAGCGTCGAGCACACAGCTCCTCACAGCTCCAGAAAGATCGCCTGTCGGCGGGCGTTGTTAAAGCTGTCGCGTGTTTGTTCGCCGGTGTATTGCCGGGCTGACCTTGGTCATGGCGGCGCCCATCTCCTACCACAAACGGCTCATGCGTGAGTATAAAAAGCTTCAGGAGGTCGGTCATTCTTGCCCCTCTGCCAATGGGTGAAGCTTGTTCTTATTCGTGCAGCACCGCTCATTCGACAACTTTATCTGACCGATACGGCACACGCGCATTAATTCTGGGTCAGGCACCATTGGACTTGATCACTGCTCTCCCTACCCCTGCCAACATTCGCGAATGGTCCGTCTTTCGCCCCCACTTAGACACGAGCCTCAAGGGCGCTCGATGCTACGTCTGCTTTAACTTTGTGCCGCTGTCACGCCCTTCATAGGCACTATGTGATCCACGGCCTGACCGAGGAGCCCTATGCAGGTGCGTCGTTCGACATGTGAGCTTTGTGGTGAAGCAGCCCGGCCCTTTCTCACCTGCCGCATACCCTTTAGGTGGCTACTTCCATGGCAAGGTGCGACGCGTCGTCTGACTCAAGAGGCAGTTGTGGCTGTGGCAAAGACCTAGCAGAAGACTGTTTACCTCATGCCTGTTCATCCTTTGGCGTGGTGTGGGCATGCAGGTCGTGTTTCCAGAGCAATATCCGATGAAGCCTCCAGCCATTTTCATGATCACACCCAATGGCCGTTTTCAGGTCAACACGAGGTGCATGATTTTTTTTTTTGGACCAAACTTCACACCTTGGCCCATCACTGTTCCTTCTTGGCTCGCTGAGAGTGCTGTGCACGTCTCACGGTGTACCTTTTGCTTGGCTATGTCATTCGAATGCCAGGATCTGCTTGTCCATGTCCGACTATCATCCGGAAACATGGAATCCAGCAGTCAGTCCACCTCGCGCTCTCGTCGACATGTGTGGTCTGGCCGCGACCGCATCAGCCCATTTCGTCCTCATTGTTTGACCATGTCATTGATTTTCCAACAGTGGTCGGTCAGCACGATTTTACAAGGTCTGCTAAGCTTCATGGTATGTTTTGCGTCTGGTGCAGAAGAAATGGCAGGGGGTTGATTGCGGTACATGAAAGCGAGCTGCGTGTTACGGTGGAGGCTGATTACACCAAGGGGACTCGGGCAAAGGCACAGTCAAATTCGTGGCGTGCCGAGAAGGGGTTGTCTTTATTTGACCTGGCTGGATGGTTGTGCATTTCCAATCTCCACAGCTTGAGGAAACTGCAACGGCTGGCAGCATGTCCACCTCTCATGCCGAGGTCTGTTTGAAGCCCTCCTTTGTTTTCGCCATCCGTGCCAACATGCCTCACAGCCAGTGCCATTGTTCGCCTTTGTAGCGCCAGAAATACGCCAAGGCCTCCCTCCTTCATAATTTAAGGGATGCCCAGTTTGTAGAGCTTTTTCCAGAGGTGGGTGGTCTCTCCTACCTTGGCGCGCGGCACCCGTTGTGGCGACAATAATCATGTTCTGCAGTAACTGTTGGACTCTTGACTGTATCCGCTTTTTCCTATACCATTCCTCCGATTCAGCTGACGCAAGAAATTAAGAGCATCCTACGCCAACGACATGCCAACCGCACGCGTGCAGAGTACGTCTCGCCTTTTGTTTGTTTCAGGGTTGGCGAGACCATCAATTTTGCCCGGCATGTTGACACTCGGTGGCCATCGTGAACTTTGGTTGCGTAGGCAATCAGGCACAGGGTCTGGATCGGGTAGAGGCACCGACGCGGCATCCAATCCTGGGTTGGGTTCAGTTCTGGCTTTTGTGGCTGCCTTGGTTGCCTTTGTGGCCGTATTGCACAACGTTGTCAGCGACGCTGCAAGCCAGAAAGCATCATAGCTTCAAGCACAACATATCGCATGGGGAGCCAAGCATAATCACAAGTGTCAACAATTGGTTTGGCTAGGATGACCCCTACCCTCCACGATCATTAGTTCTTCAGTCCACCTCTGCTCACCAAACAGAGCCTAGTCTCGATACAAAGTAAACAAATTGAATCCTCTTAGTCTGGACAAAACGATTTCATCGTTGTCATTGATGTCAAGGAAGGGGAGGCAACGGATAGCGGAATGCACGGCAGATCTGCTCAGTTCAATTGAGAAGAAGCAAGCAACCGTCCCACGCGCAAAGCCAAGGCTCAAAGAAGGTGGTCGCCAAGCATAAGCTATTGTCCTAATGATAAAGTCGTTATTATGTTTCGAACTCGCGTGAAGGGTCAAGTTCATCGTCTGGACTTGAGTGCTAGAGTTCGTCGTGAAAACTATTGGGTGCTTTAAAGACTTCAGGCACAGCCTCCTCCAAGCGGCTCCATATTTCCTCTGGGCTTGCAGCATCCATGCGCAGCGGCTGAACGCCCTGGCCACGATAGAGAATAAGAAAAGGATAATGGGGCACTTGCTGGAGTCGACAGGCGCGCTCAAAGCGCTGGCAATCGATAGCGCCCACTTGAAGGTCAGTCGCATTGCGCGAGGCCCGATAAGCCAACTCGTTGAGGGCTGGCTTAAACTGTTGACAGGGGCCGCACCAGGGCGTGGCAAAGGCTACAAGCCACACCTTTGCGCCTGTTGCGATTTCCTTGCGCAGCCGAGGCCCTGTGATGTCCTTGGTCTGCTTGCAAGACATTGTAACCCCATTTGAGAAGCAGGCAAAAAATAAAATAAAAAATAAAAAATAAAAAACAAGAAAAGAAAGCAAAAGAAAAACGATAACGGCATTGTAGTCCCCACAACATAAAGAGGGAATGAGGAGATGGTGAAGATGACGAATAATCCAGTCATGCGGGGGAAACTTTTCCGCTGACCTGAGAGGGAAAGTGTCGCCGCACAGTGGCCAGCAAGTGGTCGGCATGTAGAAAGCCCTGATAGATGCTGCAGCGCCTTGGTTGATAGCACAGGCGGCACAAGGGCAAGGCATTCAGGTGAGATGCAAAAACAGATGAAGCCCAACGTTTGACCAGCACGACTCACTTTTTGCCCCACTGGTCTGCCTGGCAGATTCGGACAGTGGGATACTGACTGTACATGGCAAGCACGCGCCGGAATAAGTAGGTCAGTGGGAAATACGCCAGCGCAGTACATGGGTCAAGCCAAGGCCATGATCGCAAGGAACGGCGGTACCGGATGGCACGTACTGAATCCGCTCCTGCATGCAAAGGTGGGCTTCGGATATGCAGTCGATGGTGGCAAACTTGACAAGTCCTCGAAGTTGGAATGCGGCGCGTTCAAACTCTGGTTTGAAATGTAAGCACGGACCACATCGGGACGACATAAAGTCAATCACCTGTTGAGCAGACACCATGGCCATGCCTTTGGAGGTAAGGGCGAAGATCTGATGACAATGCAGCTCTCAAGGACCCACTCGCAAACGAACCCACTAACCCATATTTGGTCATCATTGGCAAAGACCTGCTTGTGGAACGTAGCCGTGGTCAGGGTGACCGTGCTTGGATCAAGAGTTTGCTGCAGAAAGGTCAGGAGGCCACGTGTGCTAAAAAGGTCACCGTGGAAAAGGATCGGTTCGGCATTGCCCCCGGGATAATAGACCAGCGTTGGGTAGCTGTGGACATTGAGGTCACGACAGAGCTGAACTTCGACCGCGCAGTTGACGGTAGCAAAGCGCACGTCGGCAAATGACGAGGTGGCAGCTGCTTCGCGAAAAAAAGGTGCCAACTGCTGGCAAGGCTGACACCAGTGGGCATAAAAGTCTACCAAGCGGGCCTGTGTGCCCTGCATCACGCGTCCTGGAAAGTCGGAGGCATGCAGTTGCTCCACCGGCGCAGCTCGGGCCTGCTTGGTCCAGGCCACAATGCTCTCAGAGTCAGGAGCACCGAAATAGGTTTCATGTCCCACAGGCGTGTACACCCGCAATGCCGGTAGCTGTGGACCAGAAGGTTGCCCCGAATCGCAGATTAAAGTCAGCGTGACAACGAGAGACACACCCAGAGTGCAAGGATGGACCCTACCTCGTGCACATGATGGAGACGCTGGCAGACATTGTCGCAAGCTACACGCGTCACAGGGCCGAGGCGATGCAGGGCCCGAGCAACGGCAATGCCCAGGCGCTGCTAAGAACCGAGAGCAACCCATGTTGATTGTGAGACACATTTTAAGAAAAGAAAGCTCCATATAGGCAAGGAAAAGCATCTCCAGCGGGGTCCATCGAATACTTCAAATGCACATGAAGTAGAAGGCTCAAACGGACCGTGGCTGTCTTGGGCGAGGGGGCATCAAACAATGTCAAGCGGTCAGTGCCAAAGTCTGCTAAGCTTGGTTCAGCGATGGGCAGAGCTAAACGATCCTCAATCCGTGTTGTCAGGCGGGCAAGCACATCGGGCTCATGCCAATAATTGTCGTCGTCCGTCGGAAGAGGGGCGACTAACAAGGGTTCCGGGCTTCAGTCACAACTGCGGGTGAGCAAAGCCTGTGCTTGGTGGACTGGACGCATCTCTTTGGCAGGCCAGGGCACGCCTTTAGCCTTGCGGCAAAACATACAAGAGTTCGCGGTGCTGAAGCCACAGCCGGGACTCGGTGATGGAGTTCTTGCTGCAGAGAGACGGACGTCGCAGACAGGAGAGCACTTGCAGTGCAGCAAAGTCATGCACCATGGCTTGGAGCTATGGTCAAAAAAGAAGCCAAGGGGGAACAAGTGAGCGATCAAACACTCCATAGTCCCGCAGAAGGCAGCATCAGTGCGGCAAGGACACGTGGACCAGAATGAGCGGGTCATGTGCATTTGGTCATGGCGTCATGCCTACCAAAACAAGATCGTCTTCGGATAAGCAAGGCTCGCGAGGCGCGCAGATGACTATCACAAGATAGGGTGCATTTGCAGTCGGTGTGTCCTTCAAATGCGACCAGTCCAGACCGCGCGCGCTCACTGCCAGAGCGGGCAGCGGCGACACGGATGGGAGGGCGGCAATGACAGCACTTTGCAGGGCCTCGAGATCCCGCAGGCCACGATAGGGTGTCGGGTGACCTGAAAAGGGGTTGTCATCGCGGGTGCATACCACACGTCGAGCCTGAGAAGACGGAGCGGAGGTTTAAAAGAGCAAAAGCAAGATGTACCATTTTGGAAAAGTAGAAGAGTAGGCAAGGCTTGAATCCGCCAGTGCTGGCAAAGATGCCAATTTTCCTGGCAGTTGACAGCAGCCACAGTGGCAGCCCCATATACAGCTGTGGCCAGCTGGCGCCATGTGGGGGCGAGATCATGGCAATGACTGCATCCTATGGTCCAGCCGTAGCCCATCAGCGAGACGGCCGAGACTGCACCCAAGCACTGGCACTTGCTGAATGAGATCGCGCGTACCTGGGCTATAAAAGTTGACAAAAACCACCTTGGCACTGTGAATGGCATGATCAAAATCGTGAACGGTCAGCGTGTCAACTTGCGGATCATTGTCGTAGAGGCCGAATTCCTGTACCCGAGACAATCGGCAGATCAGGGAGGAAACCAATGAAGGGTGCGCGTGGGCCCTCGGGTATGTGGCTGCAGTCGGATGTGACTGTCATTATCGTATCAAACCTCTTGATAAAACTGGTAGCTCTCGTATCGTTGCTGCTGTTGCTCTTGTTCTTGGCGATCTTTGAGACCCTGCTCGCCAAAGCTGCGCCACCGCCGAAGAGGGCGAGGGGCGTGGGCTTGTGAGCAGAGAGTGGGACGCAGGCCAGTGATGAGGAATCTCAGCCGTACCGATCGTAGATGCGTCGCGTCTCGGGATCCTTCAGCACCTCAAACGCTTGATTGATGGCTACAAACTCAACGTGGGCCTGTGGGTTGTGGGGATTCTTGTCGGGGTGTTTTTCTAGGGCGAGTTTCTTAAACGCTCGCCGCAGCTCCTGCCAAACAAATATACCACGAGTTGGGACAGTGCATCAAAACAAAACCACATCAGAAGGGGGACACGGCCCTTGGGAGAATAGGAGAGCCGCAATCGCCGCAGCTGCCTGCAACCCCGTCCGTGAGATGTGCCTACCCGGGTCGATGCATCGCGGGCAATGCCCAGCAGCTGGTAAAAGTCTTGCTGCGAGCTTGCAGCTCCGCACAAAAGAGATGCGAGAACCAAAAAAAACAAGGGCACCAGGCCCAGCATGAGCGGCCGCATGCTGCCGACACCCTGGGACGGCCCAGGCGAGCCAAAACGGGCGCTGCGCTGCTCAGTGTTCGCGAATTGACACACATGAGAGAGAAAGAGAGAAAGAGAGAGAAAGAGAGAGAATTTTGTCAGCACGGTAGTCTCTGGCGAGACTGAGCGTCAGTCTGGGCAGAGATTCAAATGTGTTTATGCTTGCGTGCATGCATCTTTTGTTCCCACTCGTCAGCAGGAAGGGAGAGAGAGAGAGCAACGGTCACTTTACAATCAGAACAAGAGCGTGGCGTTGAACCTTTTGCTTTGCATGGCCATCGATTGACTGATTGTTCAAAGGGGCCTCGACGAGGCCGCAGCTGAGTGGCCCACAGCAACCGGTGTGTGCTGGATAGACAGCTGGCGTTTCCGGTTTGACGTGGAAACTGGCAACATGGAGGTTGATCCTAAGCGGTAATGTGCACGTTCGCTTCCAGCCGGCTTCCCGGGCACACGCGCTCATTTCGAAGGAGCAAAAGCATCATGGCAAGACATGCCATGGTTTCTCATGCTCTGGCGTCATGATGGCTGCTTTAGGGTCCGAGTGGTCCTTCAATCAGCACCCGGCGAGCATTGCGGTTCGTACCAACTTGGCTTGTTCCCCTGGATCTTGCTTCTTCCTTGCGCATCGCTGCTCGCTACACGACTGAATTTCGGATGGCTTGCGAGACAGGTGTGCATTGTGAACAAGTGAATGGTCGTTTCCGGGTCCGCCGCGTTGCACCGGCCAGCGTTGCGGCAGTGCAGGGGCGAGTCAAGCCTGGTGACGTTGTTGTTGCTGTCAACAATCATGAGCTGGCCCACACCTCTCTTGACCAGTGCGTTCCGCACTTCAGCTCGCCTCGTGCGCTGGCCTTGAGGCCTGGACCAGCGCATCTAAGCGCGCTCCTCTCTGTGCAGCTCTGGCCTCACTCTTCGTCACCCCGGTTGGCGTAGGTTGGAGCAGTTTTTACAGTTTGGGGGACGAATGTTACTGGATCTTGAATCAGGCTCGCGCCGATCTTCAAGTTCCTCGCAAGGCCGCCGTCTGCCCACCCCCCCGGTGGCTGGGCAGCGAGCCGTACAGGTTCACACTCATCCGAGTGGCATCAATGCCAAACTTGAGGCTCGACAGCTTGCCGATGGCCGCCAAGGTTTGGCGGTCACACGCATGGGCCCAGACTCGCCACTCGCCGCGGGTAATGTGGGCGAGGGCGACGTGCTCTTGTCTCTCAATGGCTGCTCCTTAGTCGACGTGTCCAATGCAGAAGCTGCCCGCCTGCAACAAGCCTTGGTTGGATCCGGTCAGGTTCACCAACGCCTCGTGACGCTGGACACCCAGGGAGCATCGCCTGGCATATCGTTTGTAGCCGATGCCGCGCGCCACGTGCGCATTCTCTCCGTGGTACCTGGTAGCGTGGCAGCCACGGCTGGTGTGCAAGCCGGTGCGCGTGTTCTCAGTGTCAATGACCAAGCGGCCGACTCCGTGGCAGCCGTGAAGCGCATCTTGTTGCGTCTTGGGCGACGCGGCGGGCCATTGCGGCTACAACTCGAGGAAGGCACTGTTTGCCTTGGTGTTTTGGCCGCGAGTCAGCTGCCTGTTGCGGCGGGATCGGGAGCCTCGAGTCCAGGTCAGCATCTTCGGTCCTCTTCACTTACATCGGCTTGGGAAACAGACGAGGTTCGTTGCATTGACTCGGCATGCTGTTGTGTTACATCTCCGCAGGTTCACAACGCTCGCGCAGCTTACATCGGACGGGCAGTTATTCAAGTCTTGGGTCCAACTTCACAGAGGATCCCATTGCAAACATCAATGATTTGCTACAGGTCGGTCAGGTTCTGGCTGACAGCAGAGCGCCAGCAGTGCCAAAGGATCTTTTCGTCAACTGATTGGGCATCGTGGCATGGTGGTTGTGGGGATTGGGGATTTGGCTTCTTTGTCAATCAACACCCTTAGGCTGTGGAGGCTTCGCATCACCGATTGACGGCCGCACAAAGGGCAACCATCCGGCAGTTGTGTGAGCCCGACAGCGCTGGCCTAGTCACCCGACACCGCTTCCAGCGAGCGTACGACATGGTCATGCATGGGCCGGTACGATGTGGCACAATGTGGTTGGGTGGCCGCGGCGTACGGAGGAAGGCGATCTTGCAGATCATCGAATTTGTGTTTTAATTTGTGTGCACCAAAGGGCCAAGTGCCGGTCAGGCTCACACAATGGAAGGATGTGCTCACTTGTTGCGTGCAAACATGCAGAGCTCCATCTCCGGCCAGCAGTCACGAGCATCCTTTGTGAGCGACGTGGATATGGACGGCTCTTTTGCACCGACGCGTCAAACCGACGCAGGTTCTTCGATCATTGATCCCACCCACATCAATTTGTCTGGTCTGGATGACGAGACCCCTCGACTCCAAAGTCAGCTGCTTGCTGCTCGCGAGGTAGGCGAAACCGAAAAGATGAATCAAGCCTTTTTTGCTCTATGGAAACGAAAGAATTGGACTGGTGTCCCGACCTTCCCATGCTCCTTCCTCTCGGCAAGTTACAGGCTGATGCCACTGACTTCCTGTGTGATGCTAGACGATCGAGCGCCTACAGAAGGAAAACGCCAACTTGAAGAACCGCGAGAAGTACGAACGATCTGCTGCCACACAGTCGCGACAAATTGAGCGTGACTACGATGAGGTACGAGTTGGTTCGTGGACCGACGGGGCTTGCATTGATATAAGCCGATGCTTCGAATCGTCTCGAGAAGAATCTGTGTCTTTTTTTCCGGCCAATGTTGACGGCGGAGGCCGTGGACTGATGAGGCCGAGGCTTTGTTGCGTTGGTTGCAGATTGTTGCCCTTCTTGAGGCAGAAATTGCCCATTTGCGGGCCCAGCTACGAGCGGGGCCGGACGAAAAGGACACGCAGCTGATGCACTTGCGCCAACGCGTGTTGGTGCTCGGTGTGCAACTCAACAAGGCAGTCCACGGGCGACAGGCATCAGAGGCGGCTCTGGAGAAGCTGCGTGACTTTGCCAACGTGCGTTTGATTTCATGTCATTTCCTCTGTGCCATGCCTTTGTCGATCATGCTGCATGAGCGTTGTCCTTGGTCAGCTCCGTCATGCTCATTTTGCGGTGCATGCGCGGTTACATGCAGCGGACGTTGCGGCGCATGATCTTCATCGGAAACTACGGGCCCCGGTTTGCGGACAAGTCGCTGGCCCTGCGCAGCGATGGGACGCTTCAGTATCGTCCATCTGATGGGCCATTGCCCCCCACCGCACCCTGGGCCGTGGGCGATGTCTGCCGGGCTCCGCATCTGTACACGGGCATGATGACCCCGGCGGTGATTGAGAGCATTCATGTTCCAGTGCACGCGAGCCGCACAGAGGTGCAGGTGCGATTTCTTCAGTACGAAGACGTCCCCGAGTTGGAAGTTGTGTCCATGGATGCCTTGGAGCCCTTGTCAGAGGAGGATTTTGTGGTGGCCGCGGCCCGGCATGGTCGCTTGGCCCAGGCGGTGACCAAGATGGAGACCACCAAGGCCAACACGACGCTCAACAGCAGTTTTACCAAAACGGAGCGCGAGATTGAGAGTGATTGTCGCCGCACCTTGGAAACTGTGGGTGCCCTCTTGGAAGACACTGGTACGTATAGGTTGCCCCGCTCCCACCCACCCCACGCCTCGCCCTACTGGCTTGTCTGTGCTTTTTTCCTTCTCTCTTCTTCTTGCCAGCCAGACCTGACTGACACCATGCTTGTTGCCTCGTTGTCACTCGGCAGTGTTGCCGTTTGGCTGGGAGTCTGCCTACACGGCCGATGGCCTCAAGTACTACATTGACCATACAACGCAGACCACATCGTGGAAGCATCCGACCAGTCAAACAGATCGCGCCATCAACGCCGTTGCTGTTCTCGCAGGCGCAGAAGCCGTCTAGAACCAAAAATTTCGACTCCCTTCCATATTCCTTAAAATGTAAAATTTAACATTGAAACTAACTTTTACCACCTTGATGCAAGATGTGCCCTGGGGGTCAGACTTTGTAGCACGGCCCGAGTTTTTGCCCCCCCTCGTCTGGTGGCTTGTTGTCCCTTGTTTGTGTGTGTGTGTCTTTGAGGGAGGTTCTCTGTTTTTTTATTTTATATTTCATTGCGCCACCAAGAACATGGCTCTTCGCATGGTTTCCTCCCGTATGATCACTGCCGTCTCTGGCTCGGGCCGCGCTCTTCTGAGCACGACTCGTCTTGCTGCCTCCGTCGAGGGCACTGGCGTACGTATTGGCTCTTTGGATTGTATTGGGTGGTTGTTGTCTCAAAACAAGTGAGGGTCACACTGGAAGCCAAAGCACGCACAAGCCTGAGCTTGGAGCCCGGGGACTTTGTTGGCGCCCGCTAGTGGCATCTCCGGCCAACACCCTCTTCGTCTTTACCCCACCATGTGTCAACATTCATCTCTCAGTGTCCCGGGTGTTCTTGACACCCAGCTGTCTTTTCAATTTGCAATCTTGCTTCTGTTGCGTCGACCCCCACTGTGTACTGGCTGAATTTTGGTTGGAGTTTGCTGTTCAGCCATGCCATCTCACTCGCAACCGGGCGTGCGCTTGTAGTTCAACGACCGCGAGCGTGCCATTGAGGCTGACTACATCCGTCGCCACGAGGCCCGCATTCGTGAGATGAAGCAGAAGGAGAAGGTGTGTTTGCTAGATGTGCTTCTGTTTGTTTTTCTTCTCTCCTCCAAGTGCTTATCGTGCTCAGCTGTACTTGTGCCATGACGTACGGGTTGTGTATTTCCGTTGTCTGATCTCTGATTGATCGATCGTTCTTAGAGCGCCATTGCCAGCGAGCGTGAGGAGATTCTGGCACTGGCCAAGCAGGCCAAGTCGCAGCACGTCAAGGAGTTGCTCCAGGACCTTGCGGATCACATCCCCAACTAGACGTCGCCCTTTGCACGAGGCCTTGAGGTCGTCCAAACTGTGACACCGTGTTTTGAAGCTCTCGTCATGAGAGGTGTCTCTGCCAAGAACCAACGCCCAAGCGACCATCGGCGTCGTAGTTGCGTCTCGTGGGCCATGCCCAAGCGCTCAACAACGCCTTTTCTCTTGGTGAAAACAAATTTTGTGCAAACAATAAAAATTAAAACACAAAAGCGAAGCCGCGTGCTTCTGTTCGGCCTTTCCGTAGCGCCCTCTGAAGGCCGCCTCGCGCCTCACCCCTCTCCGTGAAAACTTCCTGTCAGATCAAGCCAGGCCTGAGTTTGGAATGGTTTCTGGTCAATAAGCTCAATTAGGACAAGGGGGCAGGTTGCGGCTGATGGTCTTGGCATACGTGATGACACACTCGTGCCTGCTGACCAGGCGAAAAGCAGCAGGTGGCCATCAAACAATACTAAATGTCTAAATTCGGTGCGCGAACACCGGGCTATGGAGAAAGGTTTTGCTGGCGCTTGTTTGGGCAATTAGGACGAGGCAAGAGGCAAGCAGAGACGGGTCGCGTGAATGTCACGTCGGAGTGCACACATTCGCCAGCAGATTTGCGCCGGTTCGCCTTGCACCAGGCCCTACATTTTATCATGGACCAACATGAGTACAACCCGGACCCCATCCATGAATGATCAGGGATGCTCACTTTGAGATACACATACCTGCTGGCAGTAGCGAACGTAGGTGTAAAAATTACACAGCGCCACCAACCGATCGCGAGTGCAGTGGGCAATGTGTCGCCAATCCTGAATTCCAGTACACCGTGTTTGCAATTGTCAGCTCGACTAGCCCTAAGACCAAAACTTGCTGGCAATCAGGCACGTGACCAACCTTGTCACCTAAACGCACGCGAAACTTGCAGACGGCCTCCAAGTCGGAAAGCTCGCATCGCGTGACCTCTGGTGTCCCCCCCGGCACCTCCTCAATAACAATACCATTGCCCTGAAGAATCACAAGCATCGTAGAAACGATAACAGGGCAGTAAGCCAAGGTACACCACGGGCACTCTGAACAACAACAACAACACACAACTCCAACAACAACGACACGCGCGCAGAGTGCTTGAAGCCGCCATCCAATAGCCAGGAAGCCCGCCGACATCTGATGCCGAGCTTACACGAATGGAGTCGAGGATGGTGGATTGCAGGTCAGCTGCAGCCACGCGTGCCAGGCAGGGCTGCACGTCGTAAGCCTCCACATCCAACAACCACTTGTGCTCGGTCGGTGCGCCATCACTGCGCCAGGCCGTAAACTCGGCCAGAGTCTGACTATCCACTTGCGGATCAACTTGACTTGAGGTGCTTGTCCCGAACCCCAGCCCTGATGGCGGGCGGGGCTCCTGACTCGGGGGAAGATCATCCGCGCCGTTGCTGCGCGTGCGGAGTCGCGACTCGTCGCTGCGGCGCCAGCGAAAAGAGCGCTTGCTGCTACTTTTGGACGGAGAACTTGGCGTCGAGGTGGGGCAGCCGGTAAAAGCGTCGGGCTTTGTGAGCATGGTGTGCTCTACGATGGCCTTGAGAGCAGCCACCTCGGCTGTTAGGATCTTGCACAAGGGAAACACACACACGCGCGCGCGCGCGCGCACGTGCATCCATATACACCAGGCATGAGTTGTCGTACATTTCGTCGTGAACGGTCATGGGCGCGCACCAGGCTCATAGCTGACACCAACCTCATTTCGAGCAGAGAGCTCATGAGAGCGTTTGTCCGCCAGAAAACGAGCCTCCTTCTCCACACGCACCATCTCGTGTGCTTCCTCAAAAACGGACGTTGTCAAGTCATCCATTTCTGCGACAAGCCAAGCCCCGAAAAAAAAAAGTGAGATGAGCTCCCAGGCTAGAGTTTTGCAAGCCCAGCCCAGCCCACGCTGATAGGCACCTACCTTTGGTGAGCTGCTCGCGATACTGTTCATGGCTCTCGCATTGTTCGACCTTGTCCAGCAGCTTGTCCTTGGCAAGACGCAGCTCTTTCTCCAAACGCCAGTAGGCAAGGGTCTAATCATATCGCGAATGGCGGTCAGAACGTCCACCGGCAGATTTAAGGCTGCACAACAGCACAACACAACACAGACAGCCGAGTGCAACCACCTTGGTGTGATCATAATTGCCTCGGTCGCGCTGGCTCGCCATCGAGTCCGAGTTGGACCTAAGGGGTTTAAATGTTGGACCGCACACGTGCATGAGAGAAGACTTGGGCGCCAGTCACGTGAGGCAAAAAAAGACTGGCGGGCGAAGCGCGCACGGGGCACGAAGCCATACGCACCGGGGTCGAGGATCAACCATGGGTGCAGTTAAAGATACTCGTTTGGACTGTATGTGAGGTCAGAAAAAAATCAAATCAAAAGGATTAAAAAAAAAAAGGCTGGCACGGAAGGGAGGTCTGTGCACAACACTATCGTGTACCTGCCCGTTGTCTGGTGAACCGGCACCGGGAGCTTGCTCAATGCTGGCAGTACTAGGGGCTTCGCTGATGTGACCTGTATCCTCGTACATGATCCGTGGCAGCTCGGTGTTGGCCCAAGACACATTGCGGCGATGACCCAACGGACGCTTGGTATTGACGAGTGTCAGCGCCGTGATGCCTATGTCAACCCGAACAGCAAGACATGAGCATACAAAGCAACCATGACTCGGGTGGGTCAACTTGAAAGAACGTGCGGCGTAATCGTACCGGCCACGTCGACTTGCGGCTCGACAAAGTTGTCCATGGCGCAACAAGCGGTAAGGAGCAGGTGACCGGAACGGCGATGTGTGACTCGGCAGGGGTCACCCGGGTGACGAGTCGCTTGAAGGAGGCGTGGTCGAAGATCTGGTTACCGCGCTCTTGCGTGCGAGTGTCGTCGTCTCACACAAGTCCGGTCACAAGTCTAGACACCCCAACCGCCAACAGCCACCAGCATCGTCAAGCACCATGAATGCCAACAGACCTTTGCAGAAGAAGAATATCAACAACAGAAAGGAGGAGGGGCGCGAAAGCGTTCAACCGCTTTGGGCAGCGCTCCCAGAGAAAAGGCTAAATACGCGCCATGACCTGGGAGAAGCACTACCCCAAGCAGCCCAGCATGGGTGCATCCCCGAGGTAACGGCTGCCGCTATGCCCAGTTGTAGAAGTTGTTTTCAACTCACCTCACACCACCAACGACAACAACAACAAGTGCGCGCGCCACAAAAAAAAAAAAACAAGAAACAGCTGCAGCAACCAAAACACCCACAACACCGATGACACCATTCTTGATGACAAGAACGACATAAACTGTACAAATCGCAGCAATAAGCTTCAGGTGGTTTTGTATAGTTTTCAACGTAAAAGGTGCTGATTTCTGCATTAATTGGTCAAGTAGCAACGGAAAAGGCTGGTAAGGCCGAGAGGGGGCGATAACAACGCCGAGATCAACAGGACTGCCTCGCCATAGGGAGGGGGCTTCGGTGACTTCATCCGCTTCATCCGGCTCCAGAGTGAACCGACGGCAGCTGGCACTGAGCAGCTCGGGTTGGAACACTCGCCGATTTGGCCAAGTCAGTCAAGGGGACCAGGGAGCTTTCTCGCATTGAGCAGAGCTATGACAGCCAATGGCGACGCTGCCTTTACTCCCACTCAACAGAACTGCCCTTTACAACTGTTCAACAGCAAATCAGGACAGGTCTTGCCGCCTCTCACCAAACGGCAGCCGGGCATGAGGATCAGCGTGCCAGTTGCCCGCCTGCTCGTCTCCGACCGCCCTGCCTCCTATCACCTCCGTCCTCATCATAACATGCTCCACTGGTATCCTGTCTTGTCGCGGACAAAGCATTGCTCTGCTTGACACGTTTGCAGGTGCTACAGCATGTGTTCTCGCTGTCTCTTACATGCGCTCTCTCTCTCTCTCTCTCTCTCTCTCTCTCTCTCTCTCTCTCTCTCTCTCTCTCTCTCTCTCTCTCTCTCTCTCTCTCTCTCTCTCTCTCTCTCTCTCTCTCTCTCTCTCTCTCTCTCTCTCTCTCTCACACACACACACACACACTCGCACTCTCTGCGCAGTTAAAAGTGCTGGTGACGGGGGTCTGGTGGCAGATCTTTAAACTACTAGTCCTTGATCATCCCGTTCCTGGAGACGGGTGATAGAGGCGTACGACTCGACGCAGGGGACATCTGTCATGGCCAAGAAAGCCGGTGGCGGTCGCCGCGACCGGGCAAACAGAAATGCGCCCAAAAAGCAGAGCATCGGCCTGCTCTGGGTCTTCCTGGGCGCCTTGGGGGTCTTTGCTGGCTTTTACGGCCTCATCACCCTCACCGAGGCCATGCGACCAGCGCACTTGGAACGGCTGCCGCTCATCTCCATGCCAACGGACGAAAAGTACAAGGCCGTGGTTCGGGATGAGAACCTGCGCAAGGCCCTAATCAGCAAGCGGCGAACCCCAACGGAGGAACGCGCTTACCAGGATGGTTACGAGAAGAACCAGTTCAACCAGTGGATCTCCGACCAGCTTCCCCTGCAGCGCCGCGCCTGGGATACCCGCCAAGTGGACTGCCTCAAGCGCGAACACTACAACATTGATTCCCTCCCCACCGTCTCGGTGATTATCATTTTTTACAATGAAGCTCGCTCCACGCTCATGCGCACCGTCTGGTCGGTCCTCGACCGCACCCACCCTACCCTGCTCAAAGAGATTATCCTTGTCGACGACCACAGCAGCATGGAACATCTCGGCCAGCCACTCGAAGACGAGGTTGCAGCCACCCCCAAGACCAAGCTGCTCCGCCTCGACAAGCGCTCGGGCCTGATTCGGGCCAAGGTGCACGGCGCCCTCAATGCCGTCGGTGACGTCATTCTTTTCTTGGATAGCCACTGCGAAGTCAATGACGGCTACCTCGAGCCCTTGCTCGACCGCATCTACCGCAACCGCAAGACGGTTGCGATGCCCATCATCGATGCCATCGACTTTGAAACCTGGGAACATCGCACCGGCCTCTTGGAGCGAGGCGTCTTTGATTGGACCCTCACCTTCAGCTGGAAGATGCTCAGCCCCATGCAGGAAGCGGAGCGTGCCGATGACCCCTTGGCCCCGTTTACCTCCCCAGCCATGGCCGGCGGCCTGTTTGCCATGGATCGTAAGTTCTTCTTTGAGATTGGGGCCTACGACATGGGTATGGACACCTGGGGCGGCGAGAACATTGAGATGTCCGTCCGCATCTGGACCTGCGGCGGCGTCATTGAGGCCGTGCCGTGCTCCCACGTTGGCCATGTCTTCCGCCAAAAGACTCCCTACAAGTTCAAGGACAAGGATCCCCTCAAGACAATTGGCCGCAACCTCAACCGCGTGGCCGATGTCTGGATGGATGATCACGCCGACCTCTACTATGCCAAGACCGGCCACCGCTATCTCGGCCATGGCAACACCACTGCCCTCGAAGAGCGCCTCGCATTCCGTCGTGATAACCAGTGCAAGTCCTTTTCTTGGTATCTCAAAAATGTTTTCCCTGATTTGGAGCTGCCACAAAACTTGATTGTTCTCAATGCCTCGCGTTTTCCCACACTGGCCTGCCCCAATGTGCGGCGTCCGTGGTATGCACGCCGCTGAGTGTTGACCTGTGGCACCGCGACACTTGCTGAAGCCTGTGCCCATCTCAAGCAACAGGTCAGCTGAGAAGACAAGTATGAAATCAGACTTGCTCATTTTTTGGGGGAGCCTTGTCAAGACTGAAGCCATCGCATCTGTGCGCATGTCGCTGCCCCTTGCGGGGTGCAGCATGATCTATCATATGTCCTGTTGTACTGGGCATGGTGTGTTCATTGTACCTTTTTGGGCGTGACAGCAAGAACATGTTCTGCCCCTTGCATTCCATCATCGATGTTGTCTGTGGCGGCGGCGGCGGCGGCTGTAGCTGCCATTGGTCTACGCGCATGCACACGCGCGCTCGTGGCATGTCTGCATGGTGATGGTGAGCGTGTCTTCGCCCTCCAGCGACTTGATTCAATTAGGAAGTGGTATCAATGGTGGATTTGAGCGTGATGTGAGCGTGTGCGCACATCCACGCGCAGGTGAAATTTATATTCCGATCAAAGCCGATGTCATTCCTTCGTGGCATATAAGTCAGATATGCAGAACAGATAAAGAATGCATTTGACAACCTTCCTCTCACGTCCTTAACCCCGCCTTAGCACATGACCATCGCCACCAGCGGCGCGGGCAAACCAGATAGAGTTCGCCCAAGAAAAGAGCAAAGAGAGAGTTTAGAGCTTTGTTGTCACACTTTTTTTTTTTTTCTTTTTTTTTTTTTCTATCAATCACTGCGCTGTCGAGTCACGATTCGTTTGATAGCCGAGCATTGGAACGGACACGAGCGGTGATCTCACACCTGTGACCGAGCGTTCCGTGCGGTTGCGCCACGGACGACGGCGTGTCTTTGGTTGAAGAATAACCGCCAACATGGCGGACCTTGATGGTCAGTCGCTGTACCTGCTCGCGCATGTGCTCTACCGCCACCGACCTTGAGCTCTGACCGTGTTGGCTCCCTGTGGCTCGCCCCTTTGGCATTAGTGACCAATGTCACCGACATTCACAGCATTCATCGACTCCTTCAGCAAATCCAAGATGAGCAGGTACAACTTTTATCACCATGCTCGCGCATCATTGCTGAATGATCCTTTGGTGTTTGAACGTTTAATTTTTTCGGTCTGCCCGGTGGTGTTGTCGCTGATCGGGTCCCGGTGTGCAGCGGACGGAGGAGGAGGCTCTTCGCCAAGTGCTCGCCCGGCAAGAGATCGTGCATAAGAGCGTGCAGCGACTTCAACTCTCAAGGTGAGCTGAAACCTTTTGGCTTCCAGGTGTTTGTCCATTGTAGCCGTACATCTTGCCACTGCCGCTCAATTGATGCCAACCCATGGTCTACCCAGCACCAAGCTGCAAACCTTGACCCAGAGCTCCCAGTCGCTGTGTGAGACCATCAGCCGTACCTATGCCGTGGCTGAAAACATTGCCTCCAAAGTTCGCGAGCTTGATGAGAGCAAGGTTGGTCCACTGCGCCTCCTTTGCCGCGAAGATTTCTGCGGCCTGGGCCGCATACTCTGTCCAGACTTACCGTACGCGATGGTCCCTCAGGGCCGCTTGCAAGAGGCACTTCAACACGTGGACGATATTCTTGATCTTCGAGAGTGTTTCAATGGGATCCAAGATGCTCTCAAGCACCAACAATACGAGCAAGCAGCGGCATATGTCAAGCGCTACCTTGATTTTGACCCAACCCTCCTGGAATCCGAAAGCTCGGGTGCCCCTGACGCTGAAGGTATGAGCATCCCATGCTAGTCGGATTGATTGCTCCGTTTTTTTTGTCGTTTTTTTTTTCGCGTTTTTTTTTCTGCGTTTTTTTTTTCCGTCTCTTCCCAGCTCGGATCACACATGCTCATGAGTCCACCTTTGCTTGAATCTCAAGGTGGCAAGTCGATTGATAAGGTGCTAGAGCTTGCCCACATGCAGCTCAATGCCATCTTAGACGACAACATGGCCGAGTGCACCCAGCGCATCCAACAGCTGCCCTCTGACACCGTCCGGCAGCTCCCCTCCAGCCCTAACAAGACACCGAGCCCCTCGGAAAACAACAGCGAGGCCACAGACACGAACCACGAGTCCCAAGCCTTTCGCACAAAGCTTGGCTCCAGCTCATCTACTTTATCGCAGGGTGATGATGATAGCTCTGAACTTCAAGTTGTTTTGGAGCGAGCTCAGCGATTCGCCAAGCTTTATCCCTTGCTGCGCCGCCACGCCGATGGCTTGCAGCGCCTGGCCACTTTTGATGCTGCACGCCTCAAGCACCTCAATCATCTGGATGACGGTGCGCCATTCTCGATCCACTTGCCCAAGAACCTGGTGGTTGCTCCAGCTCACTCCCATTTATTGCGCTTTCCTGTTGTTGCAGAGAGTGCCAATTCAGTGTTGCCCAGCCTCTCTCGTGTTTTGGAAACCAATGCTAAGCTGATCCGCGAGCAATTGGTGCTTATCGAAACGGCCTACGGTCCTGGGCACAGCATCAAATATGTGCAGAGTCTTCTGCCAGCTGCAAACCACAACCCTGTTGCCTTACTCAAACAATTTGTTGGGCTGCGCAACCTGCCCATCCTTGTACGTATGGCTCCTCCCCTCCGCGATGTCATCTCTTGCCTCAGCGAACCGAAGACCGTGATGTTGCGGCCACCTCACATTGACTGAACAACATTAAACCTCCCTTTTGCTTGCTTTTTCTTCATTGCGGGGTCACGTATTCGCAATGGACTCTGCCACTAGACCTCTCCTGAGGAGGCTGCAGAACGGTTCGTTTCTGTTTTTTCGGTGCTATGCTGCCGCCATTTACGACGCTGGCCCTTCTCAATCAATCTCGGTTTACTTGGTGGTTGCTGCAGAGACCCAAGGACACTTGATGCCATTCTGGCCGAGTCTGCCCTCATCTTGCTGCGCTGTGCGCTCTATCACCAATTTCTTCAGTACTGTTTAAGTACTGACTTTAAAGCCTTCCAGGCTGCACGTGCCCAAGGCGGTATGTCCAGCTGCCGCACGACACGAGACTTCAATGCACGGCACTTCAATGCCTGGCTGTTGAAAATCTTCCATTCTCGTGATGATGTAGCCATCTGTGCACCGTTTGCCCCCATCTCTTGTAGACGACACCAATTTGCCAGATCTTGAACCGGGTATCGTGCAACACGTGTGGAAACAATCAGATCTCAACCGCGAAGTCTACAACCTTACCAGCCTTTACATCAAGTTGGAAGAAGAGTTTTTGGAACGCAGCGTCCAAAAGGTACGCCAACATGCGGTGGCGCGTGGTTGTGCACATGCCACCATTGTCTCCAGTCCAAGTCAGCTGACAGATGTTTGCTGCGCATCGCACCTCCTGTCCTTAGGCCATCGATGTCGATAATAAAATGACCACCACCGAGCGCACTTCGACACTGCCGGACGATATCTTCTTCGTGCTCGACAAATGTGCTCGGTAAGAGTCCGCGCGGCCCTGAGATGTCCGTGCACCGGTTGACACGACTAGCAGTTGACCCGCAGCTCACCAAAATCTCCTGATGTTCAATGTCCTGCATTTTACATGCCTGCCTTGGTGTTCAGCCGTTCGTGCAGCACCAAAAATGCCGACAGCGTCGGCGCCATGCTCAACTTTATCAGCAATGCGCTTGAGGGACCCGTCTTGAAGTATCTCCGCAAACCAGTTGACCAGGCCACGGGCAACAAGCTGGATCTGAAGGCTCTCCGTGGTCGTATATCTGCAGGAATCAAGTCGCTACGGGCTACGAACAAGGATGGCGACCACGTCAACTCAGACTCGATTGTCTATTGTGTATGTCACGCACGTGCTGCTGTCAGGATGGATGAGTATCTACGGGCCACCATCGTCCTCAAACCGCCTCATCTCTCTCGCGGTTTGTTAGATTAATCTGAACAACTTGGATACTTGCATCAGCTACATTCGTCGTCTTGTGCACGACCTTGAAGTAGGCTCAACCTTGCATGTTCACCAGCACCTCGTTTCAGGCAAATGCTATAAGTAGCACGAGAGGGTTTGCTCAGAGTCAAGGGCGGGTGGTATTCCATAGGGCGTGGCTCAGCAAGCGTTTGGCTATGCAGATGATGCTGATTTGGTCAAAGTCCGGGTACGCGCTGCACTGTCTTAAAACATACTTGCGTTGCGCCTGTGGTTCCTGATGCCCTGCTCACAGCCCGTGTCACCCCCACCATGATGGTGCTGCGGCGCTTGCCTTGCTTTCGTGGCACGGGGCGCACAGAGCTGCATTCAAACCGTGCAAGACTGTCAGAGCGTCTTCACGCACATTCTCGAGGTTAGTTTTGTCTTTTCGAGCAACAATTGCCTCGCACATGGTCTGAGCAGCATGTTTGTTCCACGTGCTCGCGTGACTTGGCTACCACATAGGCGGGCATGGGAGCCTTGATTAAGATGCAGGCCCAGGCGCAGGTGAAAACTGCAATTGAGGCTTGCGATTTCGAAAGCTACTGTCTCGACTCTGACGACGATGTAGCCGAAGATCGCGAAGGTCTTGCACCCGTGCAGCGCATTCTGGGCCTCTTATTTGAAGACTTTGAAGTGAGTGTGTGTGTGTGTGTGTGTGTGTGTGTGTGTGTGTGTGTGTGTGTGTGTGTGTGTGTGTGTGTGTGTGTGTGTGTGTGTGTGTGTGTGTGTGTGTGTGTGTGTGTGTGTGTGTGTGTGTGTGTGTGTGTGTGTGTGTGTGTGTGTGTGTGTGTGTGTGTGTGTGTGTGTGTGTGTGTTTGTTTTGTTGTTTTCCGAGGGCAGGGGAGAGGGGGGGGCGTATGTTTCTTGACAGCCCATCGGGACTGCTCTTTGTCTTGTGCTAACCGCAGTTGATGATTCAGGTTTATTTGAATGCCGACAACTACACCCGCTGCTTGGAAGGTGTTGCAGCAGCACTTGCCTCGGAGTTGGAAGTGGCTGTCATGGCGCACCAGTATACTCCACTCGGCGGGTTTCAACTGGAACGTGACTTGCGTGGCGTTGTTCGATTTTTGACTGGAGCAACCACGGCGCCCGTCCGAGACAAGTTTTTCAAGCTCATGCAGATCGGCACTGCCCTTGCCGTTGAGTCGGTATGAACCTTTCACGCAAAAACGTGTTTGCTCTGTTCTCTACATTTGACTTCCTAGCCTCACGTTGTGGTGTGCATCCGCCTGCAGCTGGACGACATTCAATACATATATGGGCTGCGGGAAGGGGCCACCTGGCTCCTCCAGCCCGAAGAATTGCGAGAACTTCTCAAGCTGAGGTACCTGCTTCCTGCGACGCTTGGTCCATCTCATCGATGCATGCATTCCATGGCGCCCACCTCATGACACACCTCGTCGCTTGGCGCAACGTAGGGTCGACTTGGAGGACGAGGCGATTGACCAGCTGAACATTCAAGGATAGAAGTGTGTGCAAAGCGCGCTGGCATTCGATACGTCTAGATTGGGCGTTGAAAATGCTTGTAACGTTTCTGTGCACCTCTGCCTCAACACTTTTCATGCTTTCGGACTCAAATCTCTTCTGATTTTGCAAAGCGTGAACGAAGGTCAAAACCAAAGAGATCGAGAAAATGATAAAGCCCCATTTAGAGCGGTACGCCAAGCTAATTCAGAAAGAACACGACTTCAAGGCACGACAAGATCTGGTGAATATCACTCAAAAGGTCAAATAACGACGACGCGCGCTGCGCGTCAGACTTGCTTCACCCGCGGTTAAAAAGGACAGAGAAAGGTTGAAAGCTGCTTCCCGACGAAGGGACAAAAGGTCAACGCCATCCTCTTCTTGTCGCTGCTCGTATCGGCGAACAGCATTGTCACGCTTCAGCAAGGCCGGTCGAGCATAAAAGCTGCCTTGTACCAGCGCTGCATGCGAAATGTGGGCGTCAGGTACATCCTGCCATGAGCCTGCGGACGGCGTTTCTTCCTGTAAGGCTTGCATGTAAAGATGTGCGCTTTGCATATGCATTCGGCACACATCAAAGGCCCGAGCCATGTTGTACAAGCTTTCACTGCACCCACGGCCTTGTCGAGCATGCCGATAGCCAGCCATGAGCCGCAAAGCCTAACGACAGTCACCATCACACATGAGAAAGCAAAGCTGATTTTTTTTTTCACATGCCAGCTATAGGATCACCTGAAACTTACCCCCGCGAAAACCTTGTGTCGCTCGTAGCAAGTGCGTTGCATCACGCGCCTGGTCACTGCGACCATGCAGCCAAACAGGCCAATGGGCGTAGCCGCATGTAGATTGACGTGTGCTTTAATAAAGCTGCACTCCCAAGATGCATATGAAAGAGAGATGAGATGTCGAAAAGGCCATGTCAGTGAGACGATGTGCTGTAAGCTTACTTTGACATGGCGATGTGTAAGGACGACGACATTAAGGCGTGGTTACCAAGCGCCACACAAGGGGCACCTAAGGTAGGCTGCGCCTCAGCCTGCCGTCCAAAAAAGCGGTGGACCCAGGCCACTTGCTCTAAGGTTGCGAGCGCCCCGGCATGAGTCCGGACACAATTGATGAAGGCATGCAAGGGCAAAGTCTTGCAAACAATCAACTCATTCTCTTGCCTCAAGGACACACGCTGTTGAAACTGACCGTTGTGTATCGCGGTACGAAAGGCGTTGTGGTAGAGGGCGTTCCAACCTCGATGACAATTCTTAACCATCCCCAACAATGTACGACACTCGGCGTATGCGGTTGCTTGGTCCCCGGTAGCTTCCTGGACAAACACCTGTGACACCCCACATCAACCCTCATGAGGTCACAAATCCGTCATTCAAAAAGACACCTGTCAGTGCACAAAACGACAGTTGCTAGGTTCACAGGTCCTACCTCGAGGCATTTGTATACGGCCTTGTGCTCTGTCGAAATTTGTGATGCTTGCCCAAGGGTGCGAAGCACCAAGAGCATGCTGTCCAACTCAGCCATGAGATACAGGTGAGCCTCGACGGTGCGCACGACGCATTGAAACCTACACCCGCATTGTCCTGTTGAGTTGAAGATGCATCAGTGTGCTCGATATTCGTGGCGGAGCGTGTCGTACCACTCGTCGGGTGTCAGCGCGGTGGCATCAAAGATAATGTTGTTGGACATTTCTGCAAGTATATTCACGATTGCAACAGTCGTCGTCACGCCTCAAAAAATGCCGCCGCGGTGCGCACGGACATGGTGTCCAGGCATGGAGCAGTTTGGGTACAAGGCCAACATACCGAGCTGTCGCTTGACGCTGGGGACCAAACCAACCGTATGCTCGTATGTGAGCCATTCCGAGCCTTGGTGCCCAACCAATGTTCCTCGAATGCGCCTGCCAGTATTGCACGAGTGGCGGAGAAGAGCGGCCGTGTACAGTGGCAATGGCAGACACGTTAGTTCACATCAAATCTGAAACAATTTGTGCGCGCACGCTGCACGAGGACGCCTCAAAATTGGATGTGGTTTGGAGCTGGTGATCGCTTGGAGCGAGCACATTATACCTTGTTTGGGCAGGCGCAAAAGCATCGCGGATTGACATATCGTGGTGGATGGCGTAATGTGCCAGCAGGTCCCGTCCAATAGCTGCCACCTCAGTAAATCGATTTGCCTGATGCATTGCATGCAAGCGTTCGAGCTGTGGTACCAAATTGGCAGGCGATAATGTTGCCTGCGTGCGACCCACTGAATTGGCGCGGCCGTGCGTCGCGAGGGAGTGCAATGGGTGTCAAAATGAGCAAAGCAAATTGTTGTCGCATCGGGAATTGACTCCATAGGGCTTCAAGCGCAACATGTGTCGTACCGGTAACATGACCAATTTCAAGCAAGGTTGCTTGCCTGAATGAGAGCAAAGCGAAAGGGCAAGGCCAATGAAGTCAGGTCCAATATCGAGGCGTAAACGCGACAATCTACACTGACAGTACACATGCACCTACAGTTTTTTCTGCTTGGCCAGGGTTTGGGGGGATAATGGATGCTCGGAGGAGCTCAGATCTTGTGAAAGATTGAAAAAGTCGCCTCGACCACCCTGATACATGACAGCAAGGTGAGTGTGTACCATGTATGTGTTGGCAAGAGTCTTCAATGTACCTTGCACATGATCATGAGATCCATTGCCGGTGACCAGTTGGGTATGATCTAATGCAAGCAATTGAAATGAGACTACTTTGCAGCAACAGACTTGAGACACAGGGATCCAAGCTCCACTTACCGTCAGTAGCTCTGAGAGCATCTGTTGGCATCGTGTCAGCAAGCCATAATGAAAAAGGCAGCGTGCCTCCAGAAGCCTGATCACTGGCACGTCCTGCTTTGGAGCTGCGCGCAGCTGATTCGTCGAGCCATTTAAAAAAAAAAAAAAAAAAAAAAAATTGAGAGAAGCTTGACTTGTGCCTCGAAGCAGTTTGCAGATTGGGCAAGTCTCACCCGCCGAGTGAAAACAAGGGCCTCATCAGCGCAGTCTTTTGACAGAAATGCCTCAATCATGTCGTCATAAGCTGTTCGATGTAATACAGGACTGAAGTACAGCAAGGGATGTGCCAGCCCCAATACAGTTGCTTTGGCCTGTCCCAAGGCCAGTCGTGCCTTGACCAGCCGAACTCGGAAAAAGGGTAGCAGGCGGGGCATTTCCAAAGAATCGCTGCCAACTGCTACGGGCTGAATCTACAGTGCGTCGGATCAAAGTCAAAGTCAGTTTGCATCAGAATTCTTGTTTGAGAGAGGATGCATATCTGGGGAAGTGATGACAAATGGGGTTCAATGTCTCGGTGACACGATGGTTCCTTACCTCTGCTGCTGGGTTGCCCTGTTGAAGCGCCTCGCTCAGACTTTGGTAAAGAACGCAGGAGGAATCGGCGGTCAGCGGTCAGCTTGGGCTGAGGCGTAGGCAGAAAAACCACAAAAGGGGGTTGCAAGTGCAATCGCTTACCATTGTCGGGCGGCCAACTCCACTGCCTGCCAGTGAGGCCGCGTCGCTGCCGCCACCTTACTCAACGGAGCCCCGGTTGAAAGCAGCCGTGTTGCTAGACATAAGCTCTCCTCACTCAAAGACTCATCCACCTCCGCGGATCCCAAATTTGTAGAGCCTGGATCTGACTGGGATGCAGATGCCAGCTCCACACTCTCAAAGCCAGGTATGGGGGGCAACACCAGCTTCGTCGTGGTTGACTCGCCCAGTCCCGGTAGAGGCGTGGCGGTAGTTTTGGGTCCACATGCCACGTACAGGCTTCCAGCCGCAGGCCTGACCAAACGCCAAATTGACGGCCAGTAGTGAGCGTCACACTGGAGGTGCCTGTGACACACTTTGAAAGTAAAACGTGGCCTACCGTGCATGCCGAATTCGTTGCGCTTGAGTGGAGGGCGGTTTGAATTGACAATAGCGTGCATATGTTTCGATGGTGCTCTCGACCTAAATCAAGTTCGGCACTGATCAGTCACAACAACAAATTGCCGCAGAGCGCCACCCATGTGTCGGAGGCACCCTCGTCTGGATGATGGGAAAAAAAAAAGGAATCGTGTTGAATACCTGAGCCCAGGCCTCGAGATGGTCAAAGAGGTCAACGAGAAGCTTTACCAACTTCCGCTTGTCATCCTCCTCATACGCGCCTAACAGCCTGATGACGTGCGACATCCCGATTCACCGATGGCGCGTGAGAGGCCACAGACCAACTAGCTTCGAAAAACAAAGGCGGGGCGCTCCGCAAGCACTTCCACGCACCACTGGGCCAGCAACTGAGAGTACTCCTTGACCAAAGTGCGAGCCTCGGCAAGTTTGTCATTCAGCAAAGGGTTGAGTCGGCCCCGACCAACAAAAATGTCCTGCATCATATGACAGTCCAGCTGAGCACCACTAGCAGGCAGTCGCATGGTTGCCCAAGAACGGCTGACGGTTCAGTACATTGTAAATAGTCCACACCTTGACATCAGGCTTCTCTTGTAGCTCGAGAAATTTGAGATGCATACGAGCACATTTCAAGAATTTTTTCTTGTTCCAAAAGATGTCGGCCAATCGCTTATGAATCAACTACCGCAAAGCACGATAAACCTCTTGATCAGACGATATGCCATGTCCGGCGAAGCAACACCAAACCCTTTACAGAGACGCTACCAACGGTCGCGCGTCGTTCGATCCAATGCTAAACGTACCGGGTTATCAGGATCCTGCTTGACGGCTCGGTCGTACATGCGCAGAGCCTCATTGACGTTGCCATCTTGCAGATACACATCACCAAGACTATGCCCCAGCCACACCAAAGCAACCGACATGAGCCCGCACATGGGAAACTAGGCAAGGCCTACCCTGAACACTTGAATATCACATACTCAAGCCAGTCAAATTCATCGGCGTCACGGCAATTGTGGAGCTCGGCCAGTTTGTAGTAGATGACCTTTGCCCAATCCCTTCGCTCGCGATAGATCTGTTGATAGTTGCATCAAGGTGTGAGGCGCATTGGTCCAACACCGTGCGAAACCACGCCAAGCCAGCTGGACACACCATGCCTAAGGTAATGAGAGGCTCAACGCATGCAGGTGTCACACTGATAATTTCTTCGCATAGCTTTTGCGCCTCCTTGAGATGCTGTTGGCCATTGTAGGTCCAAACATACGTAAATCACAGTTCAACCAGTAAAAGGAGGACCAACACGCGTGGTGGGTCATGTGCAGAAAGGCGCTGTATACGTACGCCCTGTGCAAAAAGCTGATTGGCCTGACCCATCTTGGGGATCAGCTCAACGGGCAGCACGTGGCGTGCTTGTGAGATGCTCTTGCGAAATTTACGACGCCGGCTGTGATTGACGAGGCCAGATAAATCTTCAATCCTGCCAAGAGCATTAAGCAAATGAATGCCCGTGCTTTCCATGTCGGTGTGCACGTAAAATGAGACACCAAGAACGAAAGAAAGAATGGCGGAGCCGAGACTTGCTCATCATCGTTGTTGGCTACATTGCCGTGCAAATCCATCTCGACTTCGGTGAAGCGCAGCCGCCTACATTCAGTCACATCATGAGAGCAAGCATCGGCAGAAGGCGCGGGCACGCCCGCGAATGGAAGGCGGCCAGCTTGAGGCAAGGTGGGCAAGGTGGGTAGCAAGGTGGGCAAGGTGGGTATCATACTTTTGAAGCATCTTTGTGCCACTGGAAAACTCCGTCTACACAAAAGGCCTGGTGAGCACGACGCAAGCAGGAATCTCAAATAAGCATAGCACTTCAATCTGATGGTGACTCGCCTCAATGCCGTGATGCTGCAAGTGTTGTAAGAAGCTTGTCAACTTGGTCGCATCTTCAATAACAGCGCGCGGGAATGTGTGACCACGATAAACTACGCTCTCCAAGGCCTCGCTCTGGCCTGGCAGCACGTGATGGCCATCAACAGTGATGAGGCCTGATCAGTAGATGCGTTTTGGCAGCCACAAAGATGCGAGCCTGTGCGAGAGGACCATTATGTCTTCATAACCCCCTGGCCAGCACCTGGACTGACCTTGCCTCGCTTCTGCCAAAGAGAGCTGATGAAGGAGGTCTCCCTGCAGTTCTTCCAGCTAAGCATAATCACAAAGAAGGTGAGAGCCTGCTGCAGGAGGGAGCGTTCTTGCTTCAGCACGAACAAGCATGGGATGGGCCTGTAGGAGGCGCACCGGCATTTCTAATAACTCTTGCAGGTCTTTGGTAGTGATCTCGTTTGCGGCCCCTTGCGCGGCCTCTAAGAGCTTGCCTGGCGATGGAGCAACGATAGAGGCTGCAGTCACAGCCGAATCAATTCGGAGGGTCGCATCGGAATGGAGATGAGTTTGGATAAGTGTCGTCCAAAAGATGTGGAAATCCACAATTGTAAAACAGCAGACTTTGCACATACCAGTACGTGCTTGTTGAGCAACGCGTTCCGAGGCCAAAGAGTTGAGCATAATGACGGAAGACAGTCCATGAAGCTTGGGACGACCGCTACATGTCATACAACAAATATGGCCCAGGGGCGTGAGAAGGGGCTAAGGGCAGAGTGAAGGCCTTCAGCTCCGGAGCGCACCTGCGACGACGTCTCGAGGTTTTTGGAAGTTTTGCATCCAGAAAGTTGGCATCATCGCTCTGCAATTGCTTCTCGCGGCAGATACGGCAGGTGCCGAATTTATGGGTGCAGACATGGCCGCGCTTGAATTGTCCGCAACAAGCACACTTTCGTAGCTACAGCCAATTCAAAAGTGAAGCACCATCAAGCACCTCGTCAGACCCGAAGAGAAGAAACTAAGATAAAAACTGGGCGCAATCACTAGGCTTGCAAGCGACGGCACACGATGAGCAGACTGACCCTGACAGAGCGACCCCCGCGGATAACATATCGGTCCTGGTCCTCGTTCTCTTCCTGCTCATCATCTTCCTCCTCAGCAGGCTCGTTAACGTTGTCGTTCGGCTCCTCTCCATGGCCTGCATCGCCTTCATCGTCAACAGTGTCCTGTCCACCAGTGCGAAGCATGCTCTGGGCAGCATGCTCATTGGCAGACGACGGTCGCTCGGCCGTCTCATGGGTCTTGCTGACATGTGGATCGGCCAGCTGTTGATCTGGTGTGAACCCAGTATCACGTGGGTGTGCATCTCCATGCAGTCGGTTCGAGGGGGATGGGCGGCTTCCAGGTGACGTTGTAGCAACCGCCAGCGCGTGCTGCTCCGCGTCAGTGCCCAAGCACTCAATCTTGGGTCGCTTGCTAGCAGCTTGCCCCTCGTCCACCTGGCTCGCCGGAAGCTGGCTAGCCATGCTGACGTTCAGAGATTCAAGACCCAGCCCCCAGTTGGCTCACCCTACGACGCAGCCTGCTTTGCTGTGTCGATCATGACACACGGTCGAGAAACCAATCGCCTTCACGCCCCACAGCACCCCTGGGCCAGGCATATGAGGTCAACAGCAAACCCGAGAGAGACACAGAGAGACACAGAGAGAGACAGAGAGACAGAGAGACAGAGAGACAGAGAAGAGAGAAGAAAGTAAATTACTTATTCTCTGTGGTCCATTCTCATTTTGAATGAGAATGGCGCTACGACGACGGATGGCGGAGCTGGCCGAATTGTCGGCCAGTGCTGGCGTAGCCCAGGGTGTCGCGCACCGAGCAACCAGAAAAGTCAAGACAAGGGCGGTGACAGGTAAAGAAGAGCTGAAGGATGCACCCCCAAGTGTGAAGCCCAAACTTGAACCGCTGGATGGCAGCATGGATATCAATGTCAAGCCAGCAGTCGATCAGCACCTGCCGGTCAAGATTGAAGTCGAGGAACCTCACCTAGCTGAGCTGAAAGTGGGAAGCCTCGAACATGAGCCTGCTTACTGGCGACAGCACATTGACAATATCCGCCACATGCGCCGGCACCGGTATGCTCTCCCCGCTTTGTCAGGGACAGGCGCCCGCGCTTCACAACTCGCTGCGCCGCTTGATTGACCTTGGAGCCCTGCTCTAGGAATGCTCCCGTCGATTCCATGGGCTGTGAAACGCTGACCGACCCGAACACTCCCCCAGCAGTTGCAAGATTTCACGTGCTCGTCTCTCTGATGCTTTCTTCCCAGGTGAGAGAGGCGCTGTGCCGCCACAATGTCCCATGCGTGACATCTTCTTTTCACGATAAGCTCGTATTCTAGACCAAGGACGCCATGACAGCTGCCGCAACGCGACGTCTACAGGCCTTGCCTGGAGGGCTAACGCCCAAGTCGATGGCAAGCATGGAGCCAGAGGCTATAGCTCAAGTCATTTATGGTGCGAAAAGATGTCTCCATGAGCCGACACCTCGTTCCAATCCCCAACCTTGCCTTGAAGCTTTCATCAAGCAGCCAACCTGCCGTTGCATATTGATATTGACCTTACTAGGTGTTGGATTCTGGCGGCGCAAGGGTGAGTATATTCACAAGACAGCCAAGATTCTCTTGGCTGAACACAATGGCGACGTACCCGCCACCATTGCTGAGCTCGTCAAACTGCCTGGCGTGGGAATGAAGATGGCCCAGATTGCCATGGCCGTGGCCCATAATGTGAGTGAAGTCGATGTGAACAGCTTCTTGATCCCGCCACCCCACTCCAAATGATGGCACCGTAACACGGACCGTGTTCTGTTGCTCGAACCCTACCAGACAGTGACGGGTATCGGCATCGATGTCCATTGTCATCGCATCGCCAATCGCTTGGCTTGGTGTGACACGGCCCAAAAGACGCCGGAGCACACTCGTGTTGCACTCGAGCGTTGGCTACCTCGTGAACTGTGGGGAGAAATCAATCTCCTGCTCGTCGGTTTTGGCCAACAGATATGTCTACCTCGAGGCCCAAAGTGTCACAGTTGCTTAAACCGGGACATTTGCCCTGCAGCAGCTCAGAGCCTTGCAGCTAAACAACTCGAAGCTGAAGGTCAAGTCACTGCCAAGACCGCCAAGACTGCTAAAACTGCCAAGGCTGCTACGACCACCAAGATCACCAAGACTACCAAAACCACCAAGACGACCGCCACGAGCCAAAGAGGGCACAACGCAGCCAAGCGCTCCACGCCGGCCAAAAACGCCAGTTCGGCAACTCGACGCACGCGCACACGACAATCGCGATCAAGCCCTGACTTGAACGACTGGTAAATCATTGCACTTCTGCGCGTTTTGACTTGCTGCGCGAGCCTGCAAACGTGACGGTCTGATGATTAGGTATCGAAGCATTGAATTGAGGACAGACCTGCACGATCCGAAAGTCAAAGCGGGCAGCCAGACTGAAGAAGGCGAGCAGATGCTCAAAGCATTCAAAAAAAAAGCATAGGCAACACACAAATAGCAAAAGGGCACGGCAAGTCGTGCCACCTGACGGCAAAAACACGGTTTTAATGGCTCGTCTCACCCTCAGCCAGCTCTGGCTGGGGGTCAAGTTGAGATACATGGGCCATTTCCTTAGAGCTTGACGATAGCCAGTTGGAACTTTGCGTTCTTGATGGTCTGCTCGCCCTCAACGGAGACAGTAAGTCCCTCAGGGGCGCCTTCCTCCAACTTGAAGCCAACGCTTTCGGTGATGAAGGCAGCGCGGTTCTTGATCACCTCCGCCAACTGCACCTCGGTGTCATCCTGGATCATGCGGAAGAAGACACGGATCTGTGGATTTTATGAGGGGAAAACCAAGCACAGACGAGCACAGATGAGATCAGCGACACTGACAAACGCAGCCCGCACAGCACCACGCAGGTTTAGAAAGTGTACCGTATCAGTGGGAGTGATGTTGCCTTGCTTGCGAAGCTTCTGGACGCGGTTCACCAGCTCTCGCGCGTAGCCTTCCTCGAGCATGTCGCGGTTTTGCTCAACTGCAAGGCGAATTGTGGAAAAGATGAGAACGATTTAGAAATTATCCATCGGCATGAAAAGCGAGAAGGTAATTCATCATACCGTTGAGCAGGACCAGAATGTCGTTGTCCGTCTGAGCACGGTACTTGGACTCGGTACCCGCGGCAAACTCATAACGCAGAGAAATGTCGGTTCCGGACAGGGTGTGGCCGCACACCTCAATGCTGCCGTTGGTCTGTACACCCAGAATCACACCCGATGTGTAAGGTGTGAGAAGTCATCAAGCTGCAAGTCTTGAGACCATAGTTGATACATTGAGGCCAGAAAGAAAACTTGATACAATGACTGGTGTTGAATCAAGCGACACCAAACACACAAGTGTTCATGGCACGCGCACAAGTGCATACAAACCTGATAGCCCTGCAGAGCTTCGTGAGACAGACCGATGACGGCTTTGTGGATGGCCTTGTAGTCGTTCTAGATACCACACCAATGGTCAGATACTCAAAAATGCACTTGTAACTCGCCTTTCAAGTCGCTCTAACGATTTTGATCGAATCCTTACCTTGAAGCGGACACCAAGGTTACGGCTGTCGGGCTGGCCCTTAAGCTGTGATGATTAAGGGGAAAAAAAAAAAAAAAAAAAAAGGGTTCAGCTTTGTTCCGGTGCTTGTTTGTCAAAACCACAGACGACAGACACACCGTAACATTGTAGGGCGATTCATCCGCGGACAGGGTGATGCGCTGCACGTTAAGCTCGGAGAGAATGTACTCCTCCAAGTGACGAATGTCATCCAGCAGGAAGGGAGTCTAATGCACAGCATGACAAGCAATGATGAGATCAAGGACGCTTCTATTCCAAAGCAGGTAGGACACAAGGGTTGTGTCTGACCTTGGAGACAATAACAAGCTCTTGCAGAGGGTACTTGATGGGAATGTTCTCACGCTCACGCACAATGCTGCGGGTCAGGATGATGAATAGCAAGTGAGTACCAGTAAAAAGCAGATGACTAGCCATTTGGCTGACAAAAAATACAGGGGTGCGGGGCCATCGAGTTGGCGACCATGCCGAGTCATTGAGCTTTACAAAAAATGCCTTTTCGACAACTTACCGTCCAGCTTCGACGACGCGCTTCATGGCTTCGAACGCACGCACAATGGTCTCGTCCAAATACACAGACTAGCACACACACACAAACACACACACACACACACACACAAAGCATCGCGCGGTCAATGGATGTCGTGGATTGAAAAGAATATAGGCTACATGCTTGCCAACAGCAACCAGCTTGGTCAGCACACGGAAAAAGCGTCTTACCTTGGGCTCGGGAATGAGCTGGAAGTGCACCGAGGCGTCTTCACGAACGCCGTTGATTGTGCGCACGTTATCGCTACCGCTGGCAGCGGCCGGCGTGGCAACGCGGCGAGGCGAAGGTGGGGCTGAGCCCTGCATCAATTTGCGAGCCGCCCTGGAGCGCAAAAACATTGTTCAATGAGCATCCACCACCACGATGAAGAAGAGTGCTCCAAGGGTGAACAAGAATCGTTCCAACCATCACGCAAATGCCAGTCCTTCCCACCCCTGTATTCTTCAACACGAGACAAGCGGTGTGGATACGTACCGAAGGATGCGCTTACGATCGGTGCAGCGGTTCACACCCATGGAGAGAAGATCATCATGGCTCAGGTCCACCAGATCAGCGCCGGTCAGACCGTTGGAAGCAAAGAGCTCCTGGTAGTCTTCCAGCTCGTTGGAGGACAACCAAGCATTCACATTGTCCAGGGACCACTCCGCCACGGCCTCAGCAGCGGCTGTCATGGGACCTTGGTGGAGAGTCAGAGCAATGTCGCTCGAGGTTGATACCTTGTGGCCACGGGTGGTCGTACTGGCAGAGGCAGTCACCACAAAAGGACGCATGTGCTGGTACATCCACTCGGCGAAGAACGGAGTGAAAGGGCCCATGGTAACAGACATGGTCATCAAGACCTCACCCAGGGCCCACAAAGCAAGCGCCGCATCGTCATCGCTGTTGGCGCCCTGGCATCGTGACCAGACCAAGCAAAACACACACACACACACACACACACACACACACACACACCAAAAAAAGGGGAAAAAACAGCTGTGAACAAGGGTGTGTCCGTAATCCCAAGAAACGGACGCCAAGGCACTGCAAGGCCCAACCCAAGGCTTGAATGCCGGCGAGCACAAACGCTATTGTCGATACCTTGAGACGCTTGCGGTTGAAGCGAATGAACCAATTGGTCAGGTTGTCCACAAAAGACAGCAACTTGGGCACAACAGTGTAGAGACGGTAGGCTGTGAACAAGACACGGGGGGGGTGAATCAATGCGACTCGTGTACAAGATCGGACTTTAAAAAAGGAAGCAATCACAAACGGCGCAAAACGTTCAAAGCGTCAGCCGGGTGGTAACGGTGCAGACTGACCAGCCATCTCTTGCTTGACAAAGCGAATCAAGTCTTGCGTGAAGGCGAGGATCCACTTGTCCATCTTATTGGTCGACGGGCAGGCCTTGGCCGAGTCAAAGGTGAATGGACGGCCAACAGCTTGCTGCAAATTTTTTGAGAACAGAAAAAAAAAACACCCAAAAGGCGGTACACGAAAGGCAGGATGATGAGTGATGTGTGGTGCTTGGCAGCATGTTGACTGCACTTTTGACAAGCAGCGAGGGCTGCCATTCTGACAGAAAGAAAGAGAGACGGAAAAAAGACATCGAACCTTCCAACGCTCCGCCTGTTGCTCAAAGAACCGGAAGGCGTTCAACCAGGGCAGAAAGACATCCTTGATCAAAGCCTAGAGGTTCAAACGTGAACAGAACGCATGGTTGTTAAAAGGGAGAGGATAACAGCAAACACCAAAGGCCCTTGTACAGGTGTTGTGTCTGAGACATACCTGCACGCCCTTGCGCTCAAAGCGAAGGTTCTCGGCGCGCACAGCTGGCGAAGTGATGAGATACAAACTACGCACGCGAATTCAGGCACGATGAAACAAGGTGGTAGCAAAACACAAAGGGGTGATTGTGTATTCAAGCCACAGGCAGAATGTAAAGCGCCGTACGCAAGGGGTGGCGCACGAACCGCAAGGCATCGGCACCATCCTCTTCAAGGACAAGGTTGGGATCAGGATAGTTTTTGAGACGCTTGCTCATTTTTTTGCCGTCACCGGCCAAAACCAGGCCGTTCACAATCAGATTCTTCCACGGAGGCTGATCGAAGAGCAGCGTGCTGATGACCATGAGCGTGTAGAACCTGTCGAATAATGAAAAGATGAACAAAATCAAAAGCACAAGTCGTCAGGTGAGTCGGAGGGTGACGCGTTCGAGCGACCTGTGCATTGGCAACCAGGGAAAAAGCGCACCAGCCACGAGTTTGGTCGACGCCCTCGGCAATAAAGTCGGCGGGAAAGTTCTTTTCAAATCGCTCCTACCCAGAGTACAACAAGAGGCAATCAGATGTTAGCAGTGCAAAGATACTACGACAACGCACACATGACGCTGACGGGTGGGCACTGTGGGCCTACCTTGTTTTCAAAGGGATAGTGGACCTGAGCATAGGGCATAGAGCCACTCTCAAACCAGCAGTCAAAGACTTGGGGCACACGGCGCAGGACACCCTTGCCCTGCTTGGAAGGGATGGTGATGTCGTCCAAATGCTCGCGGTGAAGGTCCTCGATGTCCGTACGGCCAGAGAGCTCCTTGAGCTCCTCGATGGAGCCAATGCAGACGACTTCTTCATAATCCTCGCTGACCCAGATGGGAATGGGAGTGCCCCAGAAACGGTTGCGCTATCAAAAAAAAAAAAAAAAATGATAATAATAATAATAATCATCATCATAAGAGTCAAATCATAACAGAACCAAAGTAAGTGCGCTATTCTCCGTTGTGCTTTTGCATCAAAACAAGATTCATTTGATGTCACGACAAAGCAAAAGCGAGCTTTGAGGTGCTGTAGGCTTACGGAGAAGGCCCAGTCGCGAGCGTCGGCCAGCCAATTGTGGAAACGGCCATCGCGGATGTTTTGAGGAACCCTAAGGGCAACACAAGGATTGAGTGAGACAGATTTGATTCATTGTTTCGCAAAGCCCGCCAACATGGTGCTTTTTGATGCAAGGTCAGAGCTGCAAGGGTGCTTGATCGTACCAGTAAGTGTTCTGGTTGTTCTGAACAAGCTTGTCCTTGATGTCTTCGACACGGATGAACCAAGAGTCGACCGTCTTGCGGACCAGGGGCGTACCCGATCTAAACAGACGAATGCACATGAATGATTCACACATACACGGGCAGTTGGGGAGACAATGCAGTGAGCACTCTGGCCAAGCTCAGCCAATGAGCCCGGCGTCGGCAAGTTCGTACCGCCAGCAATGGGCGTAGGCGTGCTTCACACGCCCAGCCTGGAACATCTTGCCCTCATCCTTGAGACGCTTGATGATGACCTATGCACAAAAGATGGCATGACGTACAATGCAACATGTCATCAAACCACAAAGCAAGAAGCTCGCAAAAGCCAGGACATACGTTGTCAGCATCCTTGATGTACATGCCCTTGTAGTCGGAAACCTCGTCCGTGTACTTGCCACTGCACAAAGTGAAGGCAGTGGAATGGGAGCCGGTGGAGGGTGACATGACAGCCTGCGTTTACATCCGAGTCCAGAAAAAAAAGAACGAGGGGTGGGTTAAAGCGCACTGACCAGTCGTCCAACGGGCAGGGAATGTCGGTGGCAGTGACGACGCCGGCCGCCAGGCAGACACGGTAATCGTCCTACGCGGCATCGTTGTTGCATGATTAAGATGAGGTTCAAGGCAAAGAGGTGTGGTGGATCCAGCACACATTTGGCATGTATTAAACGCACTTCACCGTGACCGGGAGCGTTGTGGACAATGCCGGTACCGCTGTCGTCAGTGACGTAGGTGTCGACGAGCACCTTGAATGCGCGGTCCTCGAGGCGCTTGAAGTAAGGAAAAAGAGGCTCGTAACGACGGCCACGGAGAGTTTCACCCTTGAATTCTTCAATGATCTCGACCGACTTGTCGCCCTCCTTGTACAGGCAGCCCTTGCCGAAGAGACGGGACTTGAGGGCGATGTACACGCGCTCACGCTTGGTGTCTGCCGATACCATGGTGCAACATGTAAACCATGAGGTACCGTGCGCGCCTGCACCAGAGCCGATGCGTGACGACCTCAACCCATGTTCAACAGCCGGAAAAGTTCGTACCGCGAAACTTGACGTAGTCAAGCGTGGGGTGCACGCACAAAGCCAAGTTGGAAGGCAGGGTCCAGGGCGTGGTGGTCCACGCCAAGAAAGCGGCATCTTCATCCACCAGCTTGAAGGAAACCGTCACTGTGGCGGGCAAGCACCGAGGCATGGCGGTAAATGTATTGCGTACGATGACATACTCACCCGATGTTGGAAAATAACAAGCACGCACCGGCAGGATCATCGACATCATGCATGTCCTGATTGGCCTCAAAGTTCGACAGAGGGGTCGACAGAGCCGTGGAGAAAGGCATGACCTTGAAGCCGCGATAGACCATGTCCTTGTCAAAAATCTGCTTGAACACCCACCTGCCGAGCCAATATCATAAGGAGACGATTTTTTGCCAATTGAGGCACAGGCGGCAAGCGGGTCGGGGGCTTCAAGGGAGTCGAGGTCCAAAGGCGACATGACGAAAACATGGCCCTAAATCTGGTCCGAGAAGCAGCCACTACGCACCAGACACTTTCCATGAACCAAGGATAGAGAGTCTTGTAGTCATTGTCAAAGTCAATCCAGCGACCGAGGCGGTTCACGGTATAGCGCCACTCGTCGGCGTAGCGCATGACGATGGAACGACATTCCTCGTTGTACTTGGCAATGCCCATTTTCTCAACATCAGCGCTGCCCGAAATCTGCAGGCAGAAAGACGTAAAACATGCGTGAGGAAGACCGACATGTTTTGGAAGAGCGGCAGCAACGCTCAAAAGGCCCGCCCACTCACGCCAAGCTTCTTGTCAATCTCAAACTCAACGGGCACGCCATGGGTGTCCCAACCAAAGCGGCGCTCGACGTGGTGGCCAGTTTGGTGGGCAAATCGGGTGACAACATCCTTGATGGTGCCGGCCAGAAGATGGCCATAGTGGGGAGTGCCGGTGGCGAAAGGCGGCCCATCGTAAAAGTTGTACTCGGGGCGGCCACGGGAAAACTCGAGCGAAGTCTGAAAGGCGTTCATGTCTGTCCACAGCTTCAGGATCTCCGTCTCCATGGTAGCAAAGTGAAAGCCTGCTTGGGCAAGAGTGTGGGAGTGTGGGATGAGATTGACAACCCCAATGACGTGTTTCAAAGAAGCTGGCTCGCGACAACGGCAAACGTGGGCATCGACGTACGCTCGCCGGACGACTCATCCTTGCTCTTGTTGGCAGCAGCCTAAAAAGGTTGGAGTGAACCAGAAGCAGAGCTTGAGATGGACCAGATGCTAATAGCTGCATCGGCTTGGCAGCAGGAGGGGGCATGTGGGCGTTGCACGCATAACGAGACAAACCTTGGCGGGTTTGGCCTCTGCCTTCTTCTCAGACTTGCTGGGCTTGCTCTCGGCACCAGCAGCCTTGGGCTCGGCCTTCTTGTCTGCTTTGCCCTTCTTCTTGCCCTTGGAAGGCTTGGCACCAGGCAAATCCTCGCCAGTCAGCTCTTTGTAGGCGGTCTTGAGGCCCACGAGGGTTTGCACAGCGGCCTCAACCTCCTTCTTGTCAGCGTTGGCGCCCTTGAGCTCGCGAACTTTGGCACCTTGAGCCTCAATCTGCTGCAGCAGGGCTGCGGCACTGTCACAACGGGCGGAGGAGTAGCGCATTGGCACATTGGCAAGAAATGAGTGAATCGGGGGTGCAGGAGCACAGGCCATGCTAACAAGTAGGCTCACGCACTCGGCAGATGTAGCCGCCATGATCAAAGGCCTGTCCTGTCCCACACACAAATCAAAAGTGTTTCGAGGGGATACGGAATGGTTGAAGACCACTCCGCCTTGCTGAGATCACACCAAGTTGACCTAAGGGTTCACCGAGATGCAACGGTGGTGGCAGCAGAGACACGCAAACACTTGTGAGGTCAGCCGCGGTCGGTGCTCAGATCTGCGCCAGACTTGGTTTAAGCAAGCACCACGCTCCAGAAGATATCGCTGTCCCAGGCACGGCATCCAACCCAGCCCAAGCCACGGCAGGCCACTGAAATGCACCCATTCTGAGTATATCAACCCCAGTACCTCCGGCAGATGAGCAGCGCATCAACCTCCGTCCCACTCAAACCAAGATGAACCAAGAGCTTTGACGCACGACCGACCTCGCCTCTCAACACTGACAGCCACACGTGTAGGTGGCAAAATGAGTTTTTTTCTTCTCTGTGTGTGTGTGTGTGTGTGTGTGTGTGTGTGTTGCTCGCCATCTTGATAGTCGAGCCTTTGTCACACTTTCAATGGTCAAAGTGTATCAGATTTGTCTCTTTTGGCTGCTGTGCTGGCATCATCACGAGTCGGCGCTCTGTGAATGGCGCCAGTCGGTGGTCGGAACCAGACACAAGCACGCGCCTTCACTCACAGAGTATCAAGATTGTTGCTTGTCATGCCGCTTCGACAGGTCTGGCGCGGATGCAAGTAGCGACATCTTAGATTGCGACCCGCCGAATTGGCAATAACCTTTGATGATAACTGGGCCTGCAAGGTCCGAACCAACCACTCCACCGAGGATGATTTTCCTGTTTAAACAGATCAGAGTACCTCATTTTTTGAAGAATTTGAACAGAAAAACTTTTTGTGCAGCGTATACAAAAGGTAAAGGCCTTGGTTACGATGCAATTGTCAGCAATTTACAACACTTGGGGTTCGAGCGTCGCCGTTCGTCTCCGACGCCCCCGGCATCCATGGCCTTGGCTGACTCCATCTGCTCCTGTGCGTTGATGCTGAGCTACCCTTGGACCATACGTGGCACTGATGCGATCTGTATCGGTGCGACTTGCTAGCTGCTTGATTTGAAGCAAGACCAAATCAAAATGGATATCACACAGTTTGCAACCTATGAAGACTTTTTGGACAGTCAAGTGCAGCCCATTGACCTCTACTATCTCGAGGTAGGCACCTGTCATGGTGCAAACGCGCGGCTGTGGCCCCGCTCACGCATCATCCTTTCTCTGATGTGCAAGAACCGCGTCATCACAACCTCTTGTTGCTGTTTCTTTCCCTCGCCACATCCGCCTCACTTTCACGCATCACCCACACTTCTGGCGCTTGGATTGGCATGATCTGGGGTAGGATGAGGAGGTGGTTCGGCAACTCGTCGAGCTCGGCTTCCGCGGCACTGGCGAGGTTTGTGGCTGGCCCTACTTTATCCTTGGCTATCTTTTTATCTTATCTATTTTGTTAGATGCTGATGTGTCATCAGTCAAGCACCTTCCTGCTGCTTTACATCCTACATCTTCGTACCTCACGTTGTTCGTTGTTGGGCGCTGTGGGCATTCATGACAGGTGGTAAAGCGCGAAGAATTTGAAGCCAAGAAGCGCGAGGCCGAGTTGCTGCGACAACAGCAGCGCAACAAGGGCAAATTGTACGGCTTTGACTCCACCTGAACACCAGCATGGCGACCGCATCTCATTTTCACGCCGCACGCACCCTGGCTGTAGAGTCTTGGTCGGTGAAAAGTTTCACGACTTGAGTCCTTTTTTGGAGGCTTTGGCGCAACGTGAGGAAGCACACCGTACCGGCAAGATGATGGTACGCTGCTACAAGTTTCAATAAACCATCCCATGCTCGCAAACATGCTACACATTGGCCCCATGTCCGCATTGCTCACCGCCTTGGCGTGAGCAGAGCATTGTCTTTATCCGTGACCGGAATGCGCAAGGCCAAGAGGTTTCAGGCTACATTGACCTGGCTGCCCGCTTCAAGGTCAGATCCATTTTTCGTCGCCCCCTTCAGGCGTTTTTTTTTTTTTTTCTGGATGGGTTAAACTGTTTTGTTTGTTTTCTCCTGGATGGGTTGAGCTGTTCGCGTGACTTGCTACATTTTGGTATTCACCTGGCTCGTGCCGAATGGTGCATCAGAATGAGGCTTTTGAGCAGTATTTTTCGGGCAAGAAGAAGTTGATTCCCAAGCCAACTGACTTGAGGTGCGGTAGTCCCTTCCTGCTTTTTGCTCAGTTCCACCCACACTCCTGCTACCGTTTTGCGCTGCTTGACTGACTTGGTCACGACTTTGCATGCGAATGTAGTTTCTACAACTGGAGCACGGGCTCGGCATACGCATCAAGCTCGGAACATTATCAAGTAACCACAGACAACGATGCCAGCGTGGCGTTCAAGAACAAGCGGGATCGCAAGATGGTCTTTGTTGACCCGGCTCGGGTTACCCCGGGTGATAACAGCAGTCGTACAGCCCTGCACACGGATGAATACATGCAGGTGGTCTTTTACGACCACGTCACTCGCATCACAGCTTAAGCAAAGAAGCTTCTAGCTACACCCACGCCCCTGTGCTCAGCGGGCTTGTTTTGCTGAAAACATTCAGCCAAAGTTGGACTTTGGAGGCGTCTGGTCAACCCTAGGTTGGCACAAATAGATATGTTCTTTGATGGGGAGGGGCGCTTGTGCGTGTGCGCCGATAGACCCCTGCGGGGTCCTTGTTTCCGGTCAAAAGCCGGCGTGGTGTTCAAACATGATTGTTATCGTTAATCGATTGATGGATGGTCGACCAACGGCGTGCCCTCAAGGCACAAGCAGGACGGGACGAGTGGGAATATCAACGAGAAGACCAACAGGTCAGGGCGGCAGACCCTTGAATCGAGGACACTTCAGCGAAGGAAAAACCTCCCTCGCGTTCCCGCAAGAAAACGAAAAGAAAAGAAAAACCATGGGCGGAAGGATAGAGAAGACGATAAACTTTGACTTGGAACAGCAAGATGAGGGCCACAGCCACTTGACTGGTGGCCTGCCAAACTGGATGGCCTGCTGAGCAAAAGGCAAGATTCGCAGAGCTTTCTGTAAAGACATCGTTGTTTCTGAACTGAGCGAGCAATTGTCCTTGCCGCAAGGACCCACAGACGCCAGGCAAGCAAAAACTCAATCACTGCTGCCGCCACGACCACGGCCACGACCGCCACGACCACGGCCACGACCACGACCGCGACCGCGACCGCCCACCCGGTTCTTGTTGCTGCGCTCCTCCTCGACCACCTGATCAATGACCTTCACACGAGACGAGCAAAGAGGTGCATTTGCGTGAGTATGTGCTGCTACAGTCTGTGTGGGATCCGTGGACAAGTAGCAATTGGAAGGACATGAGAAGCAGGGTTACTTCAGACCTCATCAGGGATGCGTAGAAACTTGATGTTGTTGCCACGGATGTAGCACTCGGGCATCTTCCAAAAGCGATCACCGTCCTATCGAGAAGAGATGATCACGCCAAGGCAGACCAGCGCAGTGATTCACCCGGGCAACTTGAACGTTGCGGAGCTCGCCACTGGTGAAGCGTCATGTCTCACCTTGGACGTGAGGGTGACATCACGCATTGTAATGTTCATGTAGTTGTCGCACTTTGAAAGGTGCCCGTTGTATGTCTCGCCGTTCTTCAACTCTACCAGCTGCACGGGTTGGAAGAAAAATTCGGCAAGGTCGCTCGAGATGAGAAAAAAAAAAGGCAAGGTGCTCTGGCTCACGTTTGAGCCGTAAACGCAGGTTGTCTCTCGGTATGCATCGTACAAAGGCCCGCACTCACCATCATGTGGTTGCTGGCAGCGCGGAGGAGGCTGAGCGGCAGCTACAGCAGAGTGTTGTGGAAGATAGGGACATGAAATCGCGCGACGAGGGGAGACACAAAAATTTGAAGCGGTTGAGTCAGACCACCAAGCTCCACCGACCCTCAACACTTTTAACCCTCAAAACTCACCATAGTGGCGATGCAGACAGTATGGGCGAGAAGCAAGTTGCGATGCTGTCCAGCCGCCTAGTTCAATCAAAACAACCTGGTCCCGATCAACCGTCAATCAAGCACACAAATTCACTGAAGCACGCCCCCGCTGCCAAAACGTCGTTCCAACACCCAAAAGAAGAAAAAAAAATTGACCACACACACACTTACCAAAGTGCGAATTCGTTTACACTTTCTCATTCAAATTCTCTCGCTCGCTCTCTCTCTCTCTCTCTGTCTCTCTCTCTCTGTCTTTTTGTGTCTGAATTTTTATGAGCAGACTGGGGTCGATCGGCGCGCACGCGCAGAGACACACGTGCCCACGGACGGTGAACACGGGCGGGCGCATGCGGATGCGGATGCCATTGCACCCTGGCTGCATGCTTGAGATGCGACGCACGCGTCCTTCCTGAGAGCCCATACTCTGAATCACTTGAGCGTGAAGGAGGCTGTGCCCTCACAAGGCGGGCATGTGGCAGCGCATTCTCGCGCTCATTTTGAGCGCCGTGCTGACCGCTCTCCGTTCGATCTGGCCCTCGCGCTTCGTGGATCCGCCGGCGTGGTTGAGCGAAAGCTCAGGGTCAGGTCAGGCCCATTCGGGTTTTGGTGCATACGCCCATGCTGAACGAAACCCAGATGGAGCCATGCCGACCATGGAGCAGCTGGAAGACGATGATGAGAACATCATTCCCCCCGACTTGGATTATGATGGACCACGGGCTGAGGGCGACGTGACCTCTTTCACCATTGAGCAGTTCCCTCAGCAGGAGGCAGACTTGCCGACGAGCTCGGAAGCGGCTATCGCACACATTCTGGCCTCGAACCCACGCGACATCTTTGGCATTTTGGGCCTGACCCCGAACAGCGACCCTGCTCTGGTGCGGCCACGCTATCGCCGTCTCAGCCTCATGATTCACCCAGACAAATGCGCTGTGTCGGGAGCGAGAGAGGCTTTTGCCCGCCTTTCCCAGGCTCACGCTGTATTGACAACACCGGTCAGTCACCGCCGACTTTACCTCACATGTGGCTTCACACTTGTGGAACTCGGTTCGTACCATTCCTGCCTGATTTTTTTTTTTTTTTGCGGCGCTTAGGATGCACTGAGGATATACATGAAAGAAGTAACGTTTGTATCGGCCGAGTCCCAGCGACGAGTCCGAAGATTGCGACGCTTAGAGCAAGACTACGAAGAATACGTTGATACGGTACGCTCGCAGAAGACCAACTGGCATCCAAATCCCAGCCTAGCCTTGGCTTGAAGAGCTGACGCGACCGCTTTGGATGAACCATACTCCTAGATTACCAACTCAATAGGTTGCGATTGTGAGGCTGGCCGCCATGAAAGACGTGAGGTCGATCGGCCAGTCAAGTCTGGACGCTATTGCAAGCAGTGCGATACATTTCATCCGGCCAAAAAGGTAGTAAAGGATGCCATCTCTAGCCCCTGCCTCGTGCGTCCAGGGAGCGACAAAACAGCCATGCTGGAACCTTCACATACAGCAATACCTCACAAAACGCCTGATGCGATGCTGCACGAGCCTGCAGGGAGACGTATGGATTGAAAACGTCACCAAGGGCTGGTCGGTTGGTTGGTGTGGCTACTACAGTGATGGTACCAAAGTCTACAACATCACGGATGCACTCCGCTGTGCGGTGCGTAAAAAAAAAAAAAAATCTGCAAAGTTTTGTGTGGCAATCCATTTTTCGTCGAGGACGGGGGCGGTACTGTGCGTCTTCTTACCACCTTTGCCACCCGCCTCGTGCCGCCTGATTTGTATTGTCGGCGCTCACCGCGTCTTTAGAAGGCCCACACCAACTTGCAAGCTGGCGCACACCGCGTCCAGATGCACTTCAAGACGTTGCCCAAAATGGTGGCACCAATGACTTTTGACGAGTATTGCGGCATGGTGTTCAAGGCAGCATGGCGCACGGTCTTAGCACAGCAGTACCCCGATGGCCAAGCACCAAATATGGACGAGGACTTTTTGGCCTACTTGCGTCGGGAGCGTGACTTGAGCTCAGCCCGCCGTACCAAGGAAGCCAACGCCCCTGAAGGTGGCTCCAAAAAAGGAGTGCGTTCCCGACGCCCAAACAATGCCGGGGCGCGTCGCGCTCGACAGCGGCGCTAAGTTCAAGAGCGATGCTGGTGCGAGTGTAAAGGAGGCTGAGTGCAAACGTTTAGAAACCGATCTTCTGAGGTTGGAGATTTGATTCTCGGCCGCAAACTTCATTTCGATTAATTTTTACACCTCATTCTTCGTTACCAACGAGCCTTCAGGTGCCACACACTCGAGGATTGACACAGTGCCTGTCACAGCCTATCAAACTTGTCGGAGTCATAGGAACACCATTCATTGCTGAATTGGTGCCGCACCACCTGTGCCGAAACAAATCCGAAACAAAAACACATTTCCGCCAGCCGTTTGACGCATTTGTTTCTTGTCGGTGACACCACTGCCACAAGGTCAACCTCCAGGGGCACCCAGGATGAGCATCGCCTTTTCTTGAAGCCGAAGATCTGCACACACACACACACACACACACACACACACACACACACACACACACACACACACACACACACACACACACACACACACACACACACACACACACACACACACACACACACACACACACACACACACACACACAACAGTGTGTGACAGTTTCGTGTCTTGTTTTTTGGACGTTGTCAGCACATCTGCGCGGCCATGGGCGAAGCACCCCCACCACCACCACCACGATGGGCCAGCCGTGGGATGGGAGTGGTATTGGTGGCGGTCGTGCTTGCAGCACTGGTGGGCTGGACCTCTGAGCATCCACAGGTGCAGCTCGCTTTAATGAGGTTTTTCCGTGATGTCAGCCGAGCCAAAGCCCACGCTCGACTCTACGGTCGCGACAACGCACTGGCCGTCATGCTTGGCCAGGAGGAGCTCGCTGCATCAACGTGGAGTGAGGTGCCTGACACCAGCTTCAACGAGGAAGATCTTCAATGGCTGAATGGCGCTGAAAGTCGACCCGTATATCTGGCGTTGGCTGGTCGTGTCTATGATGTAACAGCTGGCCGCCACAAATATGGCCCGGGCGGGAGCTACCACAAGCTGGCTGGTCGTGATGCTTCTCGCCCGCTCGCCCTGGGCTGCCTCACGGAAAGCTGTCTCACTGGTTCCCTGCAAGGTGCCTCTCCGCAACAACTGCAGGTCTGCTGCACCTTATCCGCTGCCGTCAAGAGCAAGGCCTGTCCCTTTATTTGATGGCGCTCGCGCGCGTACACACTGCCACTTACCGGGGGGGCCCCGCGACGCGTGTGCTTAGGAGTTGCATCGCTGGGTGGATTTTTTTGATAAACACGATAAGTATTACTGCGTGGGCCACTTCTCTTATCGTGACCCAGTGGCAGCGGCTGTCGAGGCCAGCCTCGCTGCCGATGCCTTTGCTGAGAAGACAGCTGCTCGGTTGCGCCATGAGTACAAGCAGCAGCGGCAACAGCGCGGAGGCACCGGCGCCTTGGTGGCCATCATACAGGAAACGCAGCGTGACGCAGTCAAATTATACCGGCGCCAGCGTCTGGACGACGTTGTCACCATCATCGAGGCGTTGTTTCTCCTTCTGGACGAACAAATGTCCCTAGGTGGTCTTGATTCCGCACCGTTGCCGCTCGAAATGGACGCGGGGCGTCTGATCCTTGCATGGTGGGCAGTTTGTATTTGTCATGAGCAAGACCGAGAAGCAGACCAGGCCATCTGGCAAACCAACTTCAAGGTCCGACGATGCTCGTGACGCACGCGTGCGTCCACGCCTGATTTTATTTCCCATTGCCTCCCTATACCAAATTTGGATGTTGGTCCGTCCTGTTTGTAGACGTTCTTGCAAGCCGCATCAGATCGCCCGGATGCGGTGCCGACGGACACGTGGTGGAGTCAGTTGGTCGCTGAGGTAGGACCTGACCCGAGTAGCCTGTTAGCATCACCGGCGCTGGGGCTTTGTTGGCTGATACGTTGTGCTGACACGTTGTGCTGACATGGGTCCCTGTCGCCTGGCAGCTCTTGGCTGTGGCCTCTCAACCAAGCGGTGCCTTGGACACATCAAATCATAAGGTCCCTGGCCGAAGCCACCACGCTCGCCTCCGATCGGCGTGGCAAGATGCACTGGGCACCTCACATGCGACGCTAGCATTCTTCAATCTCACCGAGTGAGCTGCTGTGAATGCTTCTCCCCACCACTGAGCGTGTTCCGCGATGTGTCTAAATTGTCAAAGGCATCAAAACAAGCAGAGTCGCCAGAGCCTTTGTCGTGTCTTGCAAGCTGAGCCCGGCCTGGTTACAATACCGGGCCGCATACTCTAGTCGGGCGCCGGCATATCGGCCAGCTCGCCATTCAACCAAGTGCGGATGCTGTCTTTGCAAGGCGCAGTACACTCATAGTGGCTGATATAATCTTGCCGCATTGTACAAACGTGATTATGGTACCAGATGTGGCCATCAATAGGACCACCAAAGCCTCTGCTGGCCTTTTGTATCATTCGCTGTGCACCCTCACGACTCACCAAGTATGCCACCTATCAGAGCACACATCCGTGAAGGCAACTGCAGGGCAAGGGCAGGCAAAGTAGCTTAAAGGCTTGATCGAGACAGGGCAGGAAGAAACACACCATGCCATAGCCCCAGTAAGCATCCTGAACGGGAGTCTCCTCACAAATGTCCTCCCGCTCGAAGATGGTTGATGGCCGAAAAAGGATGAGGTCGCAGTCCACTGGGATGGGCGGAAGCTCGAGATATGAGGCGTTGGGCAATAGTGTGGCGTCATCCTATGCAACCCAGTATCACCAGGCCCAATGTCCACAGAAAACCCAGGTCAGCGTGCCAGCAGACAACGATTTTGCGAGAGAACGCCCGGCACCCACCTCAATTATGATATTCCAAGGATAGTTACTTCGAGCTGCGGCTTTCCAGGCCCTGGGGCATTACAAGGGAAGCGGGTGAGGGCACTCGCTCAACCTTGACAAAACGGTTAAAGACGACCAAATGAAAACCATGATGCCTGCCACGTACCGAAGATGAGCCAAGGATGTCCCGTAGTCAGCCCACTTGAGGCCACGGACAAGGCGCGGAACGTCATATGGGCCACCATCCGGCGAAGCTTCAACGCCCCGCACGCGCTCAAAGGGGGGAAGGTTGTGCTCCTTGAAGGATTGGCGCATCCGAGCTAGCCGCTGCGGTGATCGGTCAAGGTTGATGACTAGAAAACCAACGTCTTCCGCCTGAGGCTTTTCCAGGCGAGGGCACGCCCGCGAGGATCGACGCCAGTGACCTGCTGCCGGTGCCTGAAGCGCCCCTTGCACCTCAAGAACCGTCATGCCCAGCATCAGCAGTGCCCATGGCGCTGCGAGCACCATGTTCCGCAGACCCCGCTGACCGACCATTGCTCCCACGGACTCAAGGCCACTCGGCCAGTCACACCAAGCCAGGGTCGTTAATGTGTCAATCAATCGTGTCAGCGATGATTGAGATGAAAGAGAGTTTGTATGAAAAAATAAACCACCACAACTCTTTTTTTCTCTTTCTTTTCCTTCTTGTGCTTCTTTTTTTTTTCCACAGACATCACAACGTCTTCTTTCTTCTCTTGTTGTTGATTGGCAAGTGGGGCAGGTAAGGATGCAAGGAGAGAGATTACACAAGAGCCAGAAGCCCGTATACAGGTAGGCGTGCAAAATGCGATGCCGTTTATGTTGAGACGACGCCAAAGGGCCTCGGCTAGTTGATCCAATCCTTCTTGTTGCTGGAAGTCATTCGTCTCGTGTCGGTTCATGTTTGCTCCAAAATTACGCGCTCATGCGGAAGCCTCGGTGGACGTGCGTGGCTTGAATGCATCTGCGGCCGGCCACAAGCGAAGGCAGGCGGCCTGGCAGGCTTGAAGCTGACTTGGCGCCTCGCGACGCACGCGGCTAGCCAATGCTTGCGCATCCTAAACATTGTTGAAAAACATCCCCCCCCAACAAAACCAAGGCCAGAGAAATGGTTAGCTGGCTCGCCGTGAAGTGGCCACAACGATTGAGGCGTGTCGTGTCAAACCTTGAGAGGAAAGCTTTCCGCCTTGGCCACAACGGCAACCACAGCTGCGTAGGCATCATCTACGGAAGCCTCGCCCAGCGCCACGCGGCCCAGGTTGTAAGCCAGCGCCTCCTTGGGTTCAGCGGCGGCCTTGGCCTTGCGGGTTTCATTCAGCGCGTGCGCGTCCGACACTGATCCAAACAATGATTTTTGCACTACATGACATGGCCGGCACAGGAATGCAAGTCAAAATTTGAGCAAAGACATGGAGCACACGGCGTTTCTTGGCCCAGAAGAGAAGAAGCCCAATGAAGCAAAAACACGGCTGATCCTTGAACCAACCTTCGGGAAGAACCTTCTGCACCAGCTCATCCTGACCATCAATGCCGCCAGCAAGGATCTGCAAAAGCTGCACCCGGCACACGTGTACATCTGGATGCTCAGCCTGTGTCACCCCAGGGCGTGCATGGGGGAGAGGCGAATGAGCCCAAGAGCGTATGTTCGGAGCAAAAAAGGGGTTGGGGAAAAGGGTCACCGTACGTCAATCTGGGCTGCCGCGGCAAGCATGCGACACATGGGCAGCAGCTTGTTCAGTTGGCGATAAACCTCAAAGGCCGTAATATAAAGGTCCACATGAGTCTTAGGCATAAGTTCGAGTGCCGGCTTGAGAAGCTTCAAAGCCGCCTCAAGAGGTTCAGAGGTCAGAGCGTGCTCCTCGCCCTTCTTGTCATAATGGCGGCGTGAGCTCAAATCTTCCTCTTCCTTCTTGGCACCGCCTTTTCCGGCAGCAGCCTTGTTGTCCGTGGCAGCAACCGCAGCAGCCGCCTCAGCTTTCTTCGCTGCCTTGCGCTTCTTGCTGAGGTACTTTTTCTTGTCCGCCTCGGACATACCAATGAGCGCAGGATCCTGTTGGCATCAGCAACAGATTGGGTGAGCATCATCAATGACTGCATGCGTTGCCGACTGCAAGATGCAAGCAGATACGAAACAGACACTCACGTCGTCCTCGTCGCCGCCCTTCTTATAGGGCTTTTGCTTCAGGTACAGGTAGATTTGTGCGCCCAGAATTGCGGCTTCAATGTAGTTGGGGTGGCCGTGCAGGTTATCCTCGCCCTCCAAGAATCTGCGGTGTGGACAAAAGTTGGTCAGGAAAACAAATATAACACAAAAGGCCCAAACCCTCGCCAAAGCTCTGAAACTCTTGAACAGATGAACATACCGCACGTAAGCACGCAGCGTGCTCTTGCGAAGGCAATAGGTGTGAAAATCAAATTGGTCCGAAATGATGGTGTTAAAGTCATCTGCAACCATGTGGACCTGTGCAAGCCAGAAAAAGACCATGATGATCAAGCGACAAAACGTGAGCGCGACTCTAGGGATCGCTCCCTTACAACAAACGACAGCATGGATGGTGTTCAAGAAAGAAGAACATTGTTTGAAGGGGCGGGCCAATACAAACGCACCTTGCCCAAGGCACGCGGGATGTCCCGCTTCTCCCAATACGCCTAGATGAAATAGGTTTCGAGAGCAGGTGTCAACCAATCGGTGCGTTATATTGTGAGGAAGGAACGGACGAATTCTTGTGACCGAAGCCTTGCATGGTGAGCGTGATGTACCTTGGCGCCTACTACATTAAACCAAACAATTTGAAGGGTCAAAAGATAGTCCATGGGATCGCCATTTTCCTATTGGAGTGGTAAACATTGATGAGGGAATGAGAAAGAATCTCAAGAACTTGTGTTCAAGAGTGGGACATGTGCCACGAGTCGAGAGGGATGACAGCCATTGCAAACCTTGGCATACATGACGACGTTCTGGTCGGCCTTCTCCAACTGGCCGGCACGAACTTGGTACTTGACGCAGCGAGCGTTGATGTAACGGTCAGCCGTGTCAAGCGAGCGCGCCAGCTCGAGCTGGTCGGCGGCCTCGTTGAGGCGGCCCATATGCTGAGGAAAGGAATGGAAAAATAAAAATCAGTACGTGACGAGATGAACAGGAGAGGAGAAGCGGGTCGAGAAAGGATTGAAACACCCGAAAGCTAAACCAGGCAAACTCTGTTGCGCATAGTCTTTGAAATTGGCTCAAAATGCCATCATCTGCATGGGCCGCGCTCAAGGAGCAACGAACCTTGAGGATGCGTGCTTCAACAAAGTAAACTTCAAGCGCAGTCGGGGTGTGCGCCAGAGCTTCGCGCACGGTGCTCAGGGCACGATCATACTGGCCAAGATGATCCAAATGTTGTGCCAAGTAAGCCTTGGTCCACACCAGCACGGCAGGTGACTCGATACCTTCTGTGACAAGCAACCGCCGTGGTTTGCAGTGAGGTGCACGATGGCAACGCCGTCGACATTGCCACAGGTACCCAATCACAAATTTAGCCCCACGAATGAGACCCGCCTCAACGCACCGCCTGCAGCAAAGGCTCGGTCTTTCTCGAGACTGGCCACGTAGCCTTCGACAAGGGTCTGAATGGTTGCCACCTTGGTGCTGTCGACATACAGATGGCGCAGCATGTTGAAAAGCGGGGGCATGCCTGGGAAAGAAAACGTTTGTGTTGGCACAGGTGGAGCAGAGCAAGTGAGTTATGCATGCGCACGGGTTGGTTTCCATAACCGCTGACCGTGCAGAACATAAATCCGGGCATACCTTTACGCAAACAAGAGCGCAGAACGGTATCCACACGCGACTTGAAATCGTCACCGGTGGCCTCGCGCAGAACGAGTAGCTCCGGAAGCGTGGCCTTGGGATATCGGTTGTGCACCTCGTCCAACACAGCCATGCGCTTGGCCGGCTCGGTGCTGCGTGAAAGTGAGGTGAGGAGAAAAGCGGAATGAGCGTTTGCACGAGACAGTTGGCCTGGGCGCCACGCGACAGAGAGAGAGCGAACGGCAACGCACAGGTGCTTGGCTTCAAAGAGGCCATCAAAGTAACGGCGGTCTTCAGGGTTATCGTCAATCAAGTGGCCGTAAATTGTGGCAGCCTTCTCACTGGCCTCGGTTTGACCTTGAGCGCCCAGCGCCAGGTTGAGCTGTGCGCGCATCTCGTGAAAGCCCCGACGGTCCCAAATCTCTTGATCGTGCTCGTGCAGCAGCTTGAGTGCCGTCTATTGGTTGCCATCCCCCACCACGTTCACGGACATGCGCCAAGGAGTGTAAGAGGGGCTCTAAGCCTGGGCAGGTGGGTCACAACTGATAGGCAATTGCAGCTTGTCCCACCTCAGGGTCACCCTTATCCGCATGGAGCTGCACCAGATAAAAGAGTGTTTCGCTCAGCTCTGTATCATGCAAAGGGGTCTTGGACTACGCACAATCAAGTGTGTGGATACGCGTGTTAGCGAGCAATTGTGTACCTAAGAGTAGAACCTGGTGGGCTGCGAAATAAATCGCGGATTGTTCTTGATTCATACCTCTTTCTGCAGGTCGAGCCACTTGCCAATGACCTCAATGGCCAGATCGTAGTCCTGGTTGAGGTGATGAGCCACCGCAAGACCGGACCAGTTTTGAGCCAAATCGGCGCGTTCCATCAAGATCTTGCGACGTGACTCCTAGAAGAATCAAGTGTTGACCCAGAAATAAAAAAAAAAAAAGAGATAAGAAATTAAAGAAAAAAAAATGGGGGTTGGAAGCTGGGGTCAGACCCGCCGCAGTTCTATCTGTAGATTTGGCCAACAAGAACAGAAGGCCACATACCCGATAGCCATCGAGATCGCGCATCTGAATTTGTAGGGAGGCAAGATCGCGCAAAATGATTTGATTTTTCTGGCAACATGGAAAAAACACATCCGCTGTGAGGCGTGGCTAACAGATGATGACGGCGAGTGCAGCGGCGGCTTGGGTGCAAGCACGGGCACGGGCTGCGTTGGGTCGGTTCCATGAGCAGCGCAAAGCAAGCTAACAACGCACGGGATCTTTCACACAGGCCTGGCGGTAGCACTTGATTGCTTGCTCAAAGTTGCCATCGCAGCGGTAAATGATGCCGTAGACATGCCAGCAGAGGCTTTTCATGATGCCCTTGCGCAGACTGGCCTTGGCTGTCTCAAGAGCCTCTTTGCGCTTCTCGAGCGAGTTGTAGACCAGAGCCTTCATCGCCAGCGTTTCTGAATTTAGTGGCCCATCGGACATGTCATGAGTCAGCAGCGCCGATAAGGGCTTGCGGCCAGTTTTTTGTGTGCGCAAAGTGGGTAGGGCGCCGAGCAAAAGGAGGAAGAGTAGGATCGAGAGAGAAGACTAGAAGAGTAGGAGATGGGTAGGGTAAAGTCTCAAGATCAAAGAAATGGGCTGGGCGTACCGGGGTGATCCAGGCAGTCAGCCGAGGCCAGAATGGCATTGGCATGGCGCAGCGCCTGCTTGTACTGCTTTGTGTCGTAGCATTTCTATGAGCGTGCATGGCCAAGGACCACGGCGTTGCGTTAGAAGTGGGGCAAGGGACATGAGCACAGTGAAACAATACTGGCCAATGTCTTGGCTCAGCTGAAAGAGCTGCGGAACAGCTTCATGTAGCTGGACAAAGGGGTCACGTGTCGCTGCCAGCCAGCTGCACCCGAGAGCGCGCCACAGAACAGCTATCTGGTGGCTCGGGCTGATCACCGCATGCCCCACGCCACCAGATAAAAAACCGACAAGAGCCCGGACTCTCTGTTGCCGCTGGCCTGGAACGACTGACGCACCGAGAGCTTGCGATACAGCTGCGCCTCCTTGGGCGGGAGGGTGTCGGCCATTGTGACGGTCACTCAGACAGGGATGCCGGCGCGGTCTGAAAAAAGATGATGCTACACTTTGACCTCCCTTCCCGATGCTGCCACAAAGTGAGTTGAACGTTGGACTTTCTTGCGTGTGTTTCCCGCGCAAAAAAGTGCTTGAATTGTCGACAAAATTGACACAAGCTGAAACAACGTGTTTGGACCCCTTGTGTCAGGGTATCAAGTCAAGGAAGGGGGGAGCAGCGTCAGTCACTTTACAGGCGGGCTTGTGGTTTGAGGCATTTTCTCTCTCACCCGGTGGGCAAGCAGGCAAGTGTCTCACTCTTATCAGTCGAGCTCCTCCACCCCGACCCCGAAGCACTCTGGCCAGGTTCCATCACGATGCAAGCCATTCGGCCCCCGACGACCAGCGTGGTCAATGAGTTTGCCCAGCTCTTTCCGCAGCAATGCATGACCAGTCAGTATGCCCGGACTTGCCATGCAATGCCTTGATGTACCAGAATACGAATGGGTGGTCACTGCACGGTGCTGGCTCGAAATTAAGCGTATGGTTGCCGTGCTGCCCACCCCTCGATGACCTAGGCACCGGTGCATCCGTCAAAGCCATCAAACAGCTTGTCGTCATGTCAGGTAAGAATTGAAACTAGGAAGCAACTGTTAGCCCTCTTTCCAGGGCCCGGTATCTGGCCTCTGGCTGCAACTAGCTCGCGCCGCCCGATGCGTCCGTGCACTCTGACATGGTCTTGCCCAGTGTCCAGCATCGCCTATTTGCGTGGCCTTTTTCCCCACAGCGCGTATGGTGACCGCAACGTGGGCGAAGACATGGCCATCAAGGTCTTGCGTGCCAACTCGCCGTGTGATGAGGCCGTTGCGCTCGTCGCTTGGCTCAAGTCCCTGCTACCAGGAATCGAACGACACTGGATCGATCGCATCACGCTGGCCATTCACGACGGCTACGAAGCAGACGATGGCGATGAGCTCGAGAACGACACGTTGTTGGAAACCTACACGGTGCGTCAAAAAAAGGTGTCAAGCCCCGCCTTGTCAAGCAAGACTGTCATTGATTTATGGTGGGCTGATTGCTTCCAGATCAAGCTCGGCCATCTCAACGCTGAGGCCCACCAAGCTCTGCAACAATCCCAGAATGCGAGCCTCACGTTGCCAGACTATGCTGGCTTTCAAACCGATGTCAAGTCTATGCTACGGTAGGTCGTACGCCGTCTCAGGCCAGGCCCAACCAGGCGTGGCCATGCCCCATCCAAAGCTCTTTGATTTGACAGAGGAGACTGACACCAATGTCCTCATGTGCTGGCGTCCAGCAACCTCCTTTTGACGACGCAGTCGCTTCAGAAGCTGCCGGACGTGTGCGTCGTCTCCATGCGCATTACCTTGGCAGCCGATGCCCCTGACGAAGCCATCCCAGCGGGCTTTATCACGAGCACGTCAACCGAAGGTTATCAAATTGCCAGCGAACATCGCATGCGCCTTGATGTAGGGGGCGTTGCCACCCATCATGATGCACTCAAGGTCTCTGTGGCGACCTTGCGCACGACTGGGCTGCATGCCACCCACGCGCCACGCGTCGACCTGGACCTGAGTCGCAACAGTCAGACTGAAATGCCCACCCACAGCACGGCGCAGAAGGCCCAAACTGAGGCCAATGCCTCGAAGAAAGCTCCGCAGCCTGGCGGGGACCGCAAGGGAGGCGCACATTCGGCTTTGAGTGAAGCAACGGGCCCACAGAATCTAGAGAGCGGCGCTGCCGCCCTGGGCTTTGAGGCGCCCAGTTCGACTGGTGCGCCTGCGACAAAACGCAGCAAGACCAAGGCGTCGCGAGTGGTCTCTAACAAGGCCAACGCCCGCATGCCTTCGGCAGCAAACGAGAAAATGGCCCGCCAACAGGCTCACTCGGCTCCGTTGCAAAAGGGACCGAGCCCCAGGCCGCTTGACCAGTTTGATTTTGATGATTCTCAGCAGGTATGGAAACTACTCACTCACCCAGCCTGCCCACTGCAAAACCAAGTTGTACGCCTGGGACTCATCGCGTGTGGCCCACTTAGGAGGTGGAGGCACCGTCTACCACGAAACGACGAGCTGCGCGCACGCGTCGACAACTTCGAGTTCGAAGCTCCCTCTAAGTCACTTTGCCGCATTGTACTCGCAGACATTTACCAGTGATGAGCAAATGTATGGGATGTGGACACACGGTTGTCTTGACCTGGCGGTAAAAGTGAGGACCGGGGAGCAAATACGTGCTTTTCGGCACTAGAAAGAACAAAGAGCCTGGTCTTTGACAGACATGAATTATTGTTTTGAGACACCAGCACTTGGACTTGCACAATTGACCTCGGGTCATCGCAAGACACTGCACATAGATGGTAAAGTGCTTCAGCAGCACTCACGACACCAATACATGTACTTGGCACTTCAAATCACTGCTAACTCTTGAAGAGATGGGGTTCATCAAGCCGATATGCTCAAAGCAAACGCGCCTTCAGGTTGCTATCGAATTCTATTTTCGTTTTGCTTTTGTTCCTTCAGGGTGCTTTGCACGGAGCACAGGCTTCTAACGGCAGGGGTTGGATACGTGGCGGGGCTTGAAGCGCAACAAGCTGGGACTCTGCGAGCTTCAAAGCAGGAAGAGCAGCCCTTGGCCCGCTGTAGCCCATGGAGTAAAAGGTGGTGGCAGGTTTGCGGCTACTCCTCGTCCGTGATGTCACGTGACTTGTAGTATTGACCCTGCTTCTCGTACACGGCGCCACGCTCCAGGAGCTTCTTCAGCGCACCGCGGCGAACGAAAAATTCGCCCGAGTACGGGCAAATAACGACCTTATCCTGATCCTGCATGGTTATCAAAATCATCATGAGGGCAAGCCGACACATTGGGTTCGGTTCCACGACCGCATCCCTGCTATGCTGTACATACCAGGTTGAGAAATTCGACGGGATGTCCAGTGGGACCACCTCCGCTGACTGCCGTCTTACCATCCACGATGGTGATTGGCTCCTCGTGGATAAGATCGATGGCCCAGTTTGGGTTGACCTGCCATGATAAAAACCACCAGCACGTCAGACGACACTCACTCGCGCACAGTCGCCTCTAAGAGTGTGGTGAAATAAAAGCGGAGGGTAGCCACGTTGCGCTTCTAACCAGCTTCTTGTCATTGATGAAACGTTGCTCGTAGAGAGGGCCCTCGCTGATGAGGCGGACCTGTCCGCACTGCAGACCGCGGAAGGAGCGGAGCAGGGTCGAACGCGCTTGCCACAGAGCCATTGCGATGATCACTACAAAGAAAGGGAAAAGAGAGAGGGGGGTAGAAGAAAGAAGCAGCCTCCACGAGTCCCGCTGCATGTGTTGCATACAAGAGTGAGGGGCGTCACACCGAGCAACCTGACCCCTGCGAACAGCACAGTACGCTGCTGCCCTGTCTGTCCCCTATGCGCCTGACGCACCAACACACGATCTATCGGCAAATGCCCACCCCATCAATAACACTTGGTAGTAGTCTTATACCCAACATCTGTTGACAACAGCAAAACGATGCATCTGACATTTCGTGTTGTTTGGACGGCACAGTTGTCAAGGGCAGAAGGATGCGCTGTGCTGATCACAACCGTGTCGTTCGTGTAGCTGCTTGCTGCTTGCTGGTGCCGCTGGTGTGCGCAACGCAAGACCCAGTCGGCTCAAACCCGATCCAGAACCAGCGGTTCTCATAGCCCAGTACCGACCAAACCCTCACTCTTGCTCCTCGGGCACCAGCATCATGGTATTGCCGCGAGAGGTTTTACGCTGGCTTCAGTCGCTGAAATTGTCCAGGCCCGTCAAAAACCCGCGCCGTGATTGCGCCAACGGCTACATCCTGGCCGAGATGATCCGCGTCTATTTCCCTGAAGAGGTGGGTGGACCAAGAACGCACCTTCTTCCAACACACGGACTTCACATGGGCGTACACCCCTAGACCCCGACGTGTGAGTGTTTTTCAGGATCTCAACTCTCTCTCTCTCTCTCCGCCGGTGCAGATTACAATTCACAACTATGTTGAGGGCACTTCCATTGAGCACAAGCTTTCCAATTGGGGGTTGCTGCAGAAGGCAAGTTGATACACTGCAAATAAGATGAAAGCCCCTCTTCTCTGTCATGGTGGTGCTCACGCTCGACGCACCCCACCCCCCCCCCCCCCCCGGGATGGTATGGAGGGCTTTAAAAAACTGT